TATTCGACAACAAAGAATGAGAAAACGTGTTTTTTGGGTTTCAATCTAAATAATTAGCAGAAACGAAAAAACTCTCCTCATAAGATTTTTAAGTATTTATGAGACCTACAAAATGAGACCACATGTAAAAAGATCCGACTAATAGCAAAAAAGTTATGGCCGAAAACCGAGGCAAACTGCAGGTTTTGGCACGTGTTGGTAATGCGGCGACAGTTTCTCGCAGATATTTGAAATTCTTTACATTCGTAGGATTTGTACTTCTAAATAACCACAACAAAATTGGAGTAGATTGGTCGAGTAGTTTTTGAGAATTTCTAATTGTTTATCTCAAAACATCTGTTTTCCGGCCATCACTACTAGTTTATTGGGCAATATACAGGGTTAGTTCAAAGAGCATTTTATAGCAAAATACACTTGTTTACCTTGCCGATATGAATCGCAAACTATTCCGGAAGATAAACGTTATTTTTATGCAAAAAAGGATGGGTTACGTTTTTTATTCTAAATAAATTCAAACATTTCGTATTTGTGAGTAACTCGCATATACGAGTATTGTCACTTGTGACAAATCTAAGTCTGGGTAATATATTAGCTATACAGATTGCACTTAAAAAGTGATTTTTGTTCTGTTTGTTGCTCAATAGTAATTTGAAAAGTGTGTAAAGCTTGACTGATTTTGTTCGGTGTTGATGTTGCAGCGAAGCACTATGTTAGATGAATGCCTAAATTGGAAATAGACATTCATGAGATTTGTTTAGCGGTGCGCCTGTGGCCTGTCTAGAAACTGCGTCGATCGATGCTCAAAATCAATAACACACTTCCCGCATCACTTTTCACGTATGTGTCTATTTATGTTGCTATATTGAATTCGTTTAAATCACAGAGCTGCTGCACTGTACGTGAATATGTACACCTGTATTCCTGTACTTGTTTAGTACAAACATACATTATCAAAATACTCGTAATTACGATCTAACAGAAATAGTTTTTTCTAAGAATTTCCAACATTTCTACATGCGATCAACACCGGTTCGAAAACTGAGAAAACAACTATGCCGTAAATCTAAATTCGACATCGAAAGTCTGAAAAATAACTGTAACATCTATATTGAATTTCAAAAACCCCAACCCCTACTGAGCGGAGCCGTGGCAAATGCTTGTTGCGGAAGTTGTTGTATCCAGCATACAACTTCTACCCGTACAAGTGTGTACACGCGTTAAGGAATACCTCAGTACAGATTGCCGGGTGGCGGTACAAGTCCGCTAAACTATGCAGTCGGTTATCTTCCAAAACAAAGAAATTAATGATGATAGATCCCTCGAGTACTAAGAATTCCGGATGTAAGGTCACTCCACTCTCAGAATGTCCGGGTGGAGGGTGGACCGAGGGAACAACACCGAAGATAAAATTTGTTTCACGAACATCTGCGGGATTAACAGCAACATTGATGCTGTTCATCACTACTTGCAATCCAATCGCCCCGCCATGCTTTTCTTGGCGAAGACAAAGATCTCGAGTCTGCACCGACTAACCATCTTAGCTTACCAAATTACGAGGTGCACTCCAGTCTGAGAAAGAACGGGGGAGTTGTGGCCTATGTCCGCTGCAGTCTTTCCTGCTGCAGAGATGTTTCTCTAGAATCAGACCGGAAGGACATTATGTGGCTTCGCCTCAACTCCAAAACATCCCCCAAATTTATTTGCTGCCTTTATCGCTCCCCTCGGACCACAACTGGTGACGGGCCCTACTTGTTTTGTCTCGCCACATGCTAGTATCCTGCTGGATCTGTTTCTGACCACGCAACCTGTCCTTTACAGCTATGCTGTCTTGTCTCCCCTGGGCAACTCAGCAGAAACTCACACAGGGCGCAAAATTTGGCATTACCGACATGCCGACTGGCAGAGGCTCAGAGACTTCTTCTCTACCTTTCCTTGGAGAAATGTCTGTTTCACTGACGCGAATGCGTCGGCTGTCTGTTCTTCGACAACCGAAATTATCCACGTCGGAATGGAGGAATACATGTCTCATACTGCTGATATAATAGAAGTGCTTGATTGTGTCAGTATTTGCACCATTTACTTGATTTGTTTAGTGGGCAGTTCAGAGTCTTGATCCTTAAGCTTATTACATACTAGTAGAAGCCGTTGCTCAAATTGTCTATAGGCAGTCTAGAGACGGTCTCAAGACACGATCTATAGATGGTCTCAGACATCCTTCTTTCTCTTGTCTAGCGTCCATACGATAATGTGAATGTTTTGGTCCCATGTTCGTTTTCGCAATCAAAGGGATATGCCTCGGGGTCCCTCAGAATGTTTTATTTATTTTTTGTCGGTTAACAGCCCAATGAAGTTTTTTATGTTTGAATCTTTAATATTATTACCCTAGTTAATTATAAACGCCACGCACTTATTTTGTTCTCATATAATAAAATATTGGCTTTCTGAGCCGATAGAACACAATGGATTTAAGGAGCAATAATAGGATAAATTCTAGAAGTTCCACTGGGGTTAAAAAGTGACCAGCCCCAAATATCGTTTGCGCCCCCCCCCCCCCTAGACGACGAAATCCTGAATCAGCCCTTGTGTGAGTTCCCTTGCTTGACGGATATATCTAGAGATGCTTCTCCATTTCTGAGAGTGTTGTCTTGCAAGCCACTTCTCCATTTTCCTCCTGGCTTCTGGACCAACGAGCTTGCCTCAAGAGCGTTCGCCATGTCATTAACCTGTATCCCAGCGTGCCCCGGTACCCACACTAACTATACCGCCCAACTAACAATTATCACTCCTATTAGATTTGCAAGAATAATTATACAGTATTCCTTAAACAGCATTGTATACGGTAAGAACGTTGGCAAAACCCTCTTAGAACAGCTATACAAGCGGAATGGGCACACCTAATAGGACACTTCAGTCATTTAAGAGGTTGTATAAGGGCTGCAGGTAACATTTATAAAACAAAAGTGTAAGCCTCTTGCAGCCGCTATAGGACATTTGCGTCAGTGCAAGATTCAGTTTTTGTCAACTATACAACTATTCTGTTACGTGATTCTACTTTATTGCAAACTAACTAGTAATGACTAGTCATCTTGTTTACTTACATATCGGCCATTGTGAATTTCATACACAGGTATATGATAAACTTCTACACTGTGATATAGGGCTATTGAAATACTTGCGCAGCACATTTTATTGTGATTATCGTGCAAAGTAGTTACGCAATTTCTACGGGCTTCGTATTTGATTCATATTTTGATAATGATCAAAAGTATGTCTAGATTTTTAAGATGGAAAACTGAACTTATCTGCGTTAAATCTTCCACAAATCCTATATTTAGACACAATTACACTAATGTTTGTCACTTTATATCTGTAATTTCGAACTGAAACATAATTATTTAATATTAAATAGAGGAATAAATGTTCGCCCAATATGGTGGGTGGTTGTGTACAATCATGGCATCGTCCATGTTGTCTTTAGGTTATTAGAGTATTTTGGTGTTGCCTGCAGGTGTAATACAACAATTTGACAAATGTCTGAAATGAAATACCGACAGAGTCGAATGATTTACCCAGAATTTGCACCATATCTATATCGTCTGTTTGAACAGTTGATAAAACCTTTTGAACCACTATGCATGCGTTGTTTGTCTTAAAACATTGCTTATGGCATTTTAACAAAAATATGACAGCAGAAAGTTAGGTTATGGTGAAGTTGTTTACCAACATATTTAGCATATGTGCAGCCTTTAACAGTTACTAAACAACAGTTGTATGAGTGCTTCCTATTTAGGGGTGATCAGATTATTTCTGCTCAGAAGGACAGAATTCTCCCTTAGCAGGTTGCATTCGCCCCACAACTCCACTTCCAGTCTGTTTCATGCTACAATTCCCGTGACCATCTAACGAGATTTACACTCTTTAAAAGTGAAAGCAATACTATCCATACAAGCATTCCTTTCCGTTAAAAATCAACAGACCTAAGTACTGCTGTAGAAACTATCGAGTTTGGGAATTGAGACTATCGTAATCGATCTCCGACGTCTTTGGGACGCTCATTATTACCGAAGGTATGTTTTCATAGCGGAAATCGGAATTAAAAGGAATCGTGATTCGAAGGAATCGGTTTCGAAGCCGGGATCGAGTCCATATAATGATCAAACTCTAATCTCGAATAGGAAACGCGTTTAAATATTTCCCGCAAATGTCTGGTCTGCGACTCGTCAATTACACGGACGGTGCTAGAAACTTTGGGGAGTTTTACTTTTTAGAAAATTCTTTTTAGTTTTCTGTCTGGCAGATTTCAAGAGTTTTAAACGCGATCGCGTGTTTTTATTCATGTTTCGCATCAATGCTAGTGTCAAAAAAAAACAAGGTATGTCATTTCAATATAGTAATTTTAAAAAAGGGTCTAATTCAAAATTACGCGCATCTCAAAACATCGACGTTTCATTTTCAGGTACCTGGACTTGACTGCTATTGGGAAAAAGTGTGGGGGATTAAGGAGCTTATCAAAACTAAATATTGTAATGGATAATGCCCATATATGCTCATATTGGCTGCGTCGCCATCTATGGGCACTAACATTTTCAAAATAGCTTTCTAATTATTGTGGATTGGATAAATTCTCATAGATGACGCCATGGTATCTCATTTTATTTCGGATAATTTTCCGATGATGCCTAGATGGTCGGCTATCTTCAGGCAGGACACGTGAATCATTGGCATAATCTAAGTGTTCATGCAAGTTCTAAAATCTATTTCGTGAAGGTATTTGCATTCAAAAACCCATAGAAGTTCAAATCTTTCGGCACTCACGCAAACAAGCTAGACAAGAGAACTTTCTATGGCGAAAGTGTCGGTAGCACACTAAGCGATGGCAGAATTACGTTATGTATGGACTTAATCTACTCGCATGCATTATTTCCCAGATGACAGACAAATCAAAGTATTTCCTGCGCTTGGTGTAAATGGTAATAAAATAACAAACAAATCTGATTTTGCTGAAAAATAATCTTTATTGGAGATACAATAACCCCTCGAACCGTCGTTATCATATTTATATAAATTAAATATACAAGTTTTTTATCACAAAATACGTCAGTACAATAAATAAAAAGTTCAGTATCAGAGACTCGGGAGAGGCGCCATTCTGATGTTTCAATCGGTATTTGTACTCTATATATCATTTTATAGGATTTTCAAAATGATGACCTCTCACATTCTCTACGCACAGGATAAAATAAAAAGCACTATACTCGTAAAACGATCATTTTTACAACCAAAACGAAACAATTCAGTATGTTACTAGTAACATTACAGAACTCGAGCATCATTCGAACTATAAATGAAAACTGTACATCCAATGTAGAACTTTGCTTACGCTTCCTATGCCTTGTCAGACTATCAAACTTGTAGTTTGTGGTGTATCATTCGACACTACTTTCTATGTTTTATCTGATGCAACGTCATTATTATTGTTTCCATGCACCCTGTGAGTTGAACGGGTTACTATATTTACCTTCACTAGTTGCTTTGAAAAGGCTCTTTAGCCAAATATATTAACATATGCTATATATCTGGCTACAGCGCCATCGATGAAAGTAACCTTTTTAAAGTAGATTTCTCATTAGCACGGAGATTAGAAGCATGTCTCTGACAAATTCTCATAGATGAGGCTAATGAGATATCATGTCATCTCGGATAATTTTTCGGACGCGGGAATATAGCATTAGGTTGGCTATTTTCAGGTAGAATACTACTATCATTCAGACAGGTTTTTAATAAGATTCCGCCCTTTGCCCAAATTGGGATTGATAATGTTTCTCAACCTTGAAGTAATGTTAGATAAAATCCAGAGTTAGTTCTTGTTAACTTTTACCTCCTGTTAAGAAATCTTATTTACTGCTATGTTGTGGCAGATGATCGGAATCGACTCCTCGACCCCAAAGAGCTAAATAACACCCGTCTGGAATCCAATGCTACACTTATTAAAGTTGCCTTGAAATTACATTCCCCCACATTGACTCATCGACATAATTCGTACTAAGCGACAAGGAAAAACCTAAACGACATGTCAAATGCCTTCGTAGAGACAAGCTAACCCCTGATTTGAATTTAGCGACCCCAAAAAAAACTCCTCGACTGAATAGCTTTTTGGTGTTTTGAACCACCGTACGTTGGGCAATTTCAGTTGTTTTTTGTCTCTTTTTTATCCCGCGGACAAACAAAACCTAAAATAATTTGCATAATTATCGCGCTAAATAGCAATATTTGGAATTGGAATCTTCAAGTTAGACGAAAACTGCGTCCTTTCTTGGATATAAATGCTGTATTACCGGCAGGGTGATTACGTAAAAAAACTATATAATGTCAAAAAAAAACTTGTTGACTAAGAAGGCTAATGTGCAAATAATTCATTCGGTGCTTGCTACAAGTGAGCATAAAGTGAACGACACATAGTTCCAAGTTGATGTCTTGTAGAAAAACCTATGTGTCATAAAAAACGTACATAATGTCAAAAAACCGACATAATGTCACTTTTCAAGTTACTTAATACCCCTCCCGGTACACGTAGCAAAACACAGGTCAGTTTGATTTCTACTAAAGATCAATTGCTTTGTCAGTTATTTTTTAATGTTACTTATGGTTTTATATACAGACTGATGGAATTCTGGCATCAGCATTCAGTTTGCAACATCAGTAACTGAAAATATTCTGGTAGAAACAATTGTGAGCTACCAAAAAAGCTTTTTGGCTTCATATGAACCACGACCAACCGCAGACAGCGCTGTTTCGTGCTCATTAGCAATTCATCAGTGCGGTGAGCATGAAACAGCACTGTCTGCAGTTGATACTTACTACTTAATATTGCGATCACTTGACACTCGACCGTGATTGTGAGGTGCGAAATCTCTGTACTTAGCGTAGGACGTCGAGCGGTTATGGGCTACACAAAGGACCTTCTTCACCGTACGCTTGCCGAATCATTTGTAGGTGGGGATCGCCAATCCATAAACATTCGTATATGATCGTATATGAACTAACACAACCTAACTTGAAATATAGAATGTACCTCATTCTTTACCCAATGCTTATGATGCTAGAGTTGTATAGTATTAGTGGCAATATACTGTAAAAGCCATAAATTTTACTAAACCTGAATGTAGCCGACAGTATATACAAGATTCGTTCAAACTTGTATTTTGGAGACAGGTACAAACGAAATACGTGGTCTTTTGAAGACGAAAAGTTACAGAAATAGATAGCTCTTAAGGGGTATAGTCCGGAATGTGGTTCCCCAAAAAAACAAATCAAAGCTTTTGAGGAATAACAAAATCTACGAGAGCCATTCATAAGTAAAAAGTAAGAACCTATTGCTCATTGTGCCCGCGCATCCTGTCACGTCACGTCCGTTCAACCTCAAACACTATTGGTCAGTTTTTCACTATGCCGCCATTACGTTTCACGTCTCTGTCGGTGTTGGTTGCGTGGATATACTGCTTTGTTTGTCGCCATGTCACTCAGTCAACCCGCCGGTTAATAAGTGCACTCAGTAATTCTGTTTTTAAACGCAAAAAGTTCGTCCTATTATAAATACTGAGAGGTGCTGTGAGACACTACAGAAGCTTAGGCGCGCTATTCAAAACCGCCTGCCCTGTGGCGGCGTCATTCTGCATCATGGCAACGCTTGGCCTCACGTTACGGCAGACAGACGCAGTTTCGTTGAGAATTACTGGATCATCCACCATACAGCACTAACTTAGTGCTATCAGACTTTCAGCTTTTTTCCAGAACTTGAGAAATTTCTTGGTGGAAAGCACCTCAAAAATGGTGAGATGTTGAAAGAAACAGTTACTAACAGGTTTAACCGTCAGATGGCAGCGTTCTTTGACGACGCCGACGGGATCCAAAAGCTGACGCCATGATTTGACAAATGTTTAAATATTTAGGTGGCTGTGTTGAAAAATGAAAAAATGTTCATATTTTAGTTTGTATAACAATTTACGTTCATAAATAAAGTTTCTCTAACTCCGTTACATAACGGTTCTTACTTCACCCTCGTAGTTGGAATATGTGATGATATTTTATACCTGCTTTCAAAATATTCGTTAGAGAAGCTGTAGAAAAATGTATTCAATATAAGTAAAAAAGTTACAAATTCACCTACGGCTAACAATATATTTGGTAAGGCGAAAATTGAAAATGCATGAATATTTTTTAAGACAACAATCGTTAACAATTTTAATTTTTATGCAATTATTTAATGATTTTTTGCAGCAAAAGCTGTTCGTATATTTTTTTAGATAATGCATGGCGAAAATATTAAGGCGGTATTATGTAAAAGTGATAAGGTTAGTTTCAAAAAAGTGTAATTTTCAGTAAAAGCAAAATGATTATGCAACTTCTAAAGTTGACAATGATTCTTTATGTCTGAATTACAAAAACATTCAAAATTTGAATTTAGGATTCTGCATGTTTATTAAATACATATTATTCAAAATATCCTTATCACTTCCACTGATACGTAATTTCGAAGTATACTCACAACAGTATAAAAAGTAAATATGTCATTTATATGTTCCATATATAAAAAAATCGTTAAAAATCCTACATTAGAATACATATCTTCATTTACGTTATGTATAGTCACACAACAATTATTTTATAGATACCTTTAATATATTCCTTAAAAATCATATTAAAACCATCATATAAAATACGGTAGAAAATATTTTAGTAATTTATTGTATACATACATTTTCGACACGTTTAACTACATTTGCAAGCACTATACCCCAAAATACTTGGGCAATCATATAGAATAACTCAGGGTGAGTTTCTAGTGTGGGCTTGGTCGATAACTCCGTTATAACACAAGCCATCTAAAAAAGTTCAATCTAAAAATTGCAGCCAACAGTATGCTCCTTACTTGGAAAATATTGTCATCTTCGCAGGTTGATTTATGACTACACACATCATCAAAAGTGTTGGACCCCCTGTATAAATCCGTCTAGAGGTACGTTATACATTCTGTTTGTGAACAAAAAATCTTTATATATTTAGCAAGCAAAAAACGCAAAAATTACCGTTGAGATAAAAATGTGTTTGGATTTTTATAGAAATAAGTCAGTTTAACGGTAGTGTTTGAGCAAAAAGTATTAAAATAAAATTTTATACTGTAACTTTTAAAATGCCGCGAGTTGAAATTTCTGGTTTTGACAGAACACGAATAGTAGCCCTCTTCCAAGCTGGATTTTCAAATCACCGAATAGCTCTGGATTTGGGTATCCCAAGAAGTTCGGTTATTCGAACAATTCAAAGATTCCAAGAAACTGGCTCAGTTGAAAAGCGGCCACGTAGCGGGCGTCCTCGAGTAACAGATGATAGGGAGAATCGTTACATTGCTCTATTTGCCCGAAGGAATAGATTTTCAACAAGTACAGCTATCAGGTCGCATATTCAACAAACCTTTCGAAGAGTTATTTCCACTTCTACCATCAGAAGAAGATTGCGAATGGTAAATTTGCGCCCTAGAAGACCTTTAAGTGTTCCACGCCATACTCGTAGACAAATTGCTGCTCTCTCCAGTGGGCTAGAGAACATCAGGAGTAGCTTTTACCAGTGGCGAAATGTGGTATTTACAGATGAGGGTAGGTTTATACTGGTGAGTGATGACCGTAGAATAAGGGGTTTGAGAGAACCAGGACATCTACAGCGACTAATGTTTTGGGAAGGCATAATGTTTAACCACCGGGGTCCTTTAATTCAGATCCAGGAGACAATGACTGCAGAAATTAAATTTCTTGGCTTGGTCGAACAAGGGCCTATGTACAAATTCGCAGAAATTTAGCTAGAGGGCCTATCTTACTGATCGAATGACTCTCTTTCCAATGAAAATGGTCCCAAGAGAATAATCCTAGTAGATTTCGATAAAATCCATGTGACAAGGGCGCAAGTGTGTGGGCCTAACTACAAGATATAAAATGTAAGGTCCAATCTACCGTTTGCGCCTTTTTGAATGGTCCCATGTAACAAATATATTATTAATTTATAAGCATAAAACGGCCTAAGTGACTAATAGGCCCAGAAAATAGAGACCTATGAGACCTTGGATCTTTAAAATATCCCCTTTCATTTAAATGCTTAGGGCCTAACTGCCACTTATTCAAAGTGCATTGAAATTTCTGGGCCTATGTCAATTTGGGACGTTTCATTATTCAAAAACACACATTTGAAAAGGGCCTCTGTGCAACAGAAAGACATAATAGCTTTCCGCTTTTGGTCGGATTTGCCACATAGGCCTTTTTGAGTTTAAACGTATTTATTGTGTGTATCTGATGTGTAACATAGGCCTCGGCGCAATTGCCGGTAAAAACATAACCTCAAAATTTTATCTAACGAACAGGTGTGTGTGGCACGTTTTTTGTGACTGTTTTGTGATAAATTCTCAATTTTTGCTGCATTCTTTTTTGTTCAAGGTAAGTTTGAGTACTTGAAAGAATGTTTAAGATGTCGTAGAGTATATTATTATTGTAGAACATGCAAACATAAACCAAAAGTTAAAATGTCTTTGTACAATGAGAAACATCAGTCACGAAGCCAGAGGATGGTAGATATAGCTAAGAAAAATAAAACGGAAAATTCTAACATAAATGACGATGTAGCTACCACAACCGATGACAATAAGAAGATTATCATTTTGAAAAATGATGTTATTCAAGTAAGTTTTTTTCTTCGGAGCTGGTATACATAGCGTGTAAAATAGTACCTATTATTTTGGAGCTAAAATTGTAAAATATAGTGATTCTAGAAACCTCATTGTGGCTTGGTTAGCGAGCAAGTTGTTAACAATCAAGATCAAGACGAATACCAGTCTATTGATCAACAACCAATGGAACTTGTAAGAGACTTTGTTAGCGAGGAAGTTGTTAGCAATCAAGATCAAGACCAATACCAGTCTATTGATCAACAAACAATGAAAATTGTAAGTATCTTGATGAGGAAAGTGTAATTAGCTATGTTGTGTATATTAAGATCATCCATCATTAACCTTACAAAAGAGTAGCATTATAAGTTTGAAATTGAAAATACTATATATTCCAGGAACCACATTGTTCCTCTGTGAACCAGCAAGTTGTTACCGATCAAGATCAAGGAAAACTTCAATATATTGATCAACAAAATATGGAAATTGTAAGTTAATTGATTTGAAGGAAAATTTAAACTATAGATTTATATTTTGCAGGACGTAGGGGACAACAAAAGCGACATAACCGATCCTTTTGCTACTGATTCAGATAATTCTTACAGAACAGAAAGTGACAATGAAACCAGCGAGTCAGAGAGAGAAACACAAAAAAGGAAAAAAAAGTCAAGAAAAAGAGTCAGAAATGAGTTAGGGTGGCAAGTATCTAAAAGGAAGGTTGCAAGAGCAAATGGCCAAGAATATAAAACAAAAAAGAATAAAATTGTCCAGGCAAAAATCTTGAAAGAACCATGTAGATGCAAGAAAAAGTGCTATGAAAAATTTAGCCATGAGGAAAGGATAAGTATTTTTAAAGACTTTTATTCTTTGACATATAATGAACAAACTCAGATTTTGTCAAGTTCAGTTAGGGAATTTAAAAAGCGTCGATGCACTAAACTTGAAGAAGACAGCAGAAGATCATTTAGTCATACCTATCTACTGAACAAAGGAGGATTACCTATAGAAGTTTGTAAGGTGATGTTTATGAATACTCTGGATGTAAGTTTTAAAAGAGTAAGATATACGATTGAGAAGTGTAGGCTTTCTATAAGCGGAATATGTGGACCAGACCAAAGAGGGAAGCATGGCAACCACCATAAAATATCAGATGAAGATAAAAGTTTTGTAATCCAACATATCTCTAAATTTCCAGCTTACAAGAGTCATTATTCTCGATCGCATTCAGAGAAACGATACTTATCTCCCGATTTAAGCATTCAACAAATGTATAGGCTTTATATCGAATATTGTAAAGAAGCGGAAAAAACTCCGGTGTCTGACCACTATTACCGAAGTATTTTTGTGTCCAATTTCAACCTTTCGTTTCATCCACCCCATAACGATACCTGCAGCAAGTGCGATAAGTTAAACATCTTAATAAAATCTTCCGCTGATGAAGGACAAAAAATAGACTACGAACGAGAAAAAAAAGAACATTTAGATGCAGCAGAGAAGACGTACAATGCAAAAAGGATTGACAAAGAAAAAAGTAAACAAGATGAAACTATAGTAACGGCAATGTTCGACTTACAAAAATGTTTACCGACTCCCCACCTAAAAAGTGGAATTGCCTTTTATAAAAGGCAGTTGTGGGTTTTCAACCTAACAATATACGAGGTTACAAAATCCAACGGAAATAGATCTTTTTGTTTCATGTGGGACGAAACCACTTCAAACCGTGGAGGACAGGAAATTGCATCCTGTCTCCTTAAGTACATAAGAAACTTGCCCCCAGGGGCAACCTGTCTAAATTTATATAGTGATTGCTGCTCAGGGCAAAATAAAAACATTCATGTTGTTACTCTACTGTCCAAGGTGTTTCAACTTTTGCCACCAAACCACATGCTAAAAGAAGTCCACCACAAATTCCTAATCTCCGGTCATACTCACTTGGAAGCAGACTCGATTCATGCTTCAATAGAAAAAGCTAAAAAGCACACAACAATGGATATAGAAATACCCAGAGACTGGTCCACTCTGGTTCGCAGCATTCAGCGAAAAGGAGGAATTAAAGTCATTGACATGTCTCAGGATGATTTTTACAATATAAGCGCTCTTCAGAAAGCGTATTTTGTGAATAGAAAGAAAAACGCGGACGGAGAGCAAATGTCTTTTTTGAAAGCAAACTATTTCCTCTACACGAAGGAAAACCCTGGAAAAATTTTCTACAAGGAAGGCTTATTGGCAAAAGAAGATTTCAAAGTCTGGGATATAACAAAGAAGAAAAAAGGACAGCCAGATGAGACACAACTCGTTTTGGAAAGGCTACATAATTCGTACCCGTTGCCTCTTCCAAAAAAAAAATTGGACGACATTAATACGTTAATACAATATATACACCCAAATTGTCGGCTTTTTTATGCTAATCTCAAATCAGAAGAAACAGCTGCCGATGAAGATGTATGTCCGACAGCTATTTTACAATATGATGAATAAGCCTTTTTTCATTTTTTTGCCATTGTAAAAAAAAGTAAAGTTTTAGTTTATGTTAATATCTAGAAAACAGTTCTTGAGATTATTTCTATACTTTTATAAAATATATGACATTGCCAACTGTGTTTTATTGTTATTGACGCTAAAATAAATCATAATGGGGAAAACGTTTTATAGTCAAAAAAGGCCTAAGTTATACTCTTTCCTACAATGGGGCTTATATACCATTTTCTTGGGCCTACGTGCATATTAGATATAGGGTCTATGTGAGTTAGGCCGAAATTGTAGGGGCCTAACAAACAAAAATATGTGACTAAATGAATACTTCTACGAATTTTCAATATATTTTGGATCATAGCACATCCAGTTACATGCTACCCAAATTTCATTCAATTCGCATAAAGGATTTTTGCGTAAGAAATAATTTTGTTCCAATTCACAAATCCTAAATTATCTCCAAACTTGATTTTCGTAGATTGGCCCTTGTTTATCCAAGCCACAGATTTATGAAGAAAATGTCATACAACCCATTATTCAGCCTTTGCGAAATGAATTCGGTAACAACTTAATTTTTATGGATGATAATGCAAGGCCACATAGAGCGAGAAGGGTCCAGCGGGCTCTAGAAAGGGGCCAAATAGAGAGATTGCCGTGGCCTGCGAACAGCCCAGACATGAACCCCATTGAAAACATTTGGGACACTATAGCTCGAGCCGTACGGAACAGAATAGATCCACCTACAACCCTAAATGAGCTGGCACTGCTAAGATCTAGAGTACACCGAACTGGTTATAATTATGTTTTATTTTTCTTTAGAATAATTATTTTTCTTTAATTTTAATTTTTAAAAATAAAATTTTTGGCACCTTACTTGTTCAACTTTCTTTTTCTTTTCATATTAATGAAATTAATTCAACGTTTTGTTAAATAAATATAGTAAACATATCCCCAATTTAAAATATATCAAAGATTGAAATTAGAAGGCTATAGTTTCCCAGTACGCCAGGGGTCCAACACTTTTGATGATGTGTGTATGTGGGACCCAAACATACATGGAAATGGAAAGACCCACATTTTATTGCAGATTTGGATAGGCCTCTTCAAACGAAGCAATTTGATATAACATACTATACGGTTTTTACAGGGTGACCAAGAACAAAAAGTAGGGGAGAGTGTTGTACCTTGGGACGCGCGTACCTTGGGACAAAGCGGATATTATCGCCATATGTGATACTGGAACCGAAATAGCCAAGTATAGTTAAGGGAGCACTATAACAGTTTACTTACTTCAGCGAGCGTTGTGATCGAGAAACGAGCACATCGTAAGAGATATTTATTTTGTTTTATGTGCAGCAAATTTACATTTTGTACTTTATTGTTGTGTTTTTGAAAATCAGTGACATACGACCTGTGGGCTGATATTTTAAATAATCTTCATGCAATATTTAGCCTTTTTTACCTGAAATATCTATAATAAACAATATATTATTATTTATATGAGAATTTAGATGATATTTTATTCTTATATTATTTTCACCTATTAGTCATTTGTAAATTTTGCTGCTTGTGTCTTAGATATTTATTTTCTTTTCAGCATTATGCCGCGATGGAGTAGTTAATAACATCCAGCTAAGACAAGCAGCTACGATACACAATGTTAGTAAAACAACCTTAGCGCGACATATTCAGTTACATCGAGAATCTGGACATAGACATTTTAAATATTCGGCTTCAAATGCGGTAAAGCAAGTATTTACGTCTGAGGAGGAGAATGAGCTTGAAGAATATCTATTATTCTCAGCACGACTGAATTATGGTTTAAACAAAAATGAAGTAAGAATGTTGGCCTACCAGTATGCCATCGCCAACGACAAAAAAATGCCAGAACAATGGAAGGAAGCGAAAAAAGCAGGTAGGGAATGGCTCCGTTCGTTTTTAAAACGTCACTTAACTTTGTCCCTAAGAAAACCAGAAGCGACAAGTGTTGGTCGTTCTACCAGTTTCAACAAGAAAAACGTTGGTGATTTTTTTTCAATACTTGCAAGTTGTCTGGAAAAGCATAAGTTCTTACCTAATAACATCTACAACGTAAATGAAACTGGGAATACTACTGTTCATGTTCCTCCTCGTATTATAGCTAGAAAAGGAGTGAAACAACTCGGATCTATGACTATGAGAACGTGGTGCAGCAAATCCTTCAGGGTGGTACAATGAAGAAAAGTTTATGGAATATATGGATCATTTTATAAAACATGTTAAGCCTTCCTAAGAAAACCCCGTTCTATTGGTTTTTGAGAACCACGAGAGTCACATGTCCATTCCCTTAATTGAGCTGGCAAAATCTCACGGGATTGTCTTACTTACCTTCCCACCGCACACCTCACATAAATTGCAGCCATTAGACCGCACTGTTTTTGGACCCTATAAAACCTATTACAACCAAGCTGTTAATGAATCGATGCTTCAAAATCCAGGTAAACTCATTTCTCTATATCGAGTTTCTGAAATCATTGGAAAAGCTTATCCAAAAGCACTTACGTTGCATAATATTACAAAAGGATTTTCCGTGACTGGCATTTATCCCTTTAATCCAGATGCATTTGGAGATGATAAATTCTTAAGTGCCTTTGTTACAAAATCCTAGCACAGGTAAATTGGAGATAATCACGAAGATCAAAATGCTGTTCAGTCTAGATCATCCATTGATGCAATATATTCAGAACCTGGCCCTTCAAAAGATTCAAATTGTGGTAAACCTAAAGCTTCCACGAGTGGAATAAGAACATTGATTATATAAGCCCAAAGATAATAAGGCCATACCCTAAAGCTGTCCCAAGAATTACTAGAGGTGGGCGAAGAAAAGGGAAATCCAGGATACTGACTGAGACTCCAGAAATGTACGAGCTAGAAGCAGAATACCTTAAAAAGCTGAGAAAATCCAAGGTTAAAGTTTAAAAAGTGACCAAAAAAGTTTTTCCAACAGCAGATTCTAGCAGTGAAGATGACAATTACTTTCAAAAACTTTTAGAAGATTCGAACAATGAAATGGAGATCGAAGATATTGAAAATACTGCATTATTAGAAGGAGATTTTGTACTTGTGGAACTGAACTAAAAAAATCTGTTCGGCATTATATAGCAGAAATTAAAAAGAATTTAGAGGAAGACAAATTTGAAATTGTGTATCTAAAAAAAGTTATGAATAGTAACAAGTTTGTAAAGACCGAAGAAATATATGAAATTTGCAATGCCGACGTAGTAAAGAAGTTACCAAAGCCTACCCTAGTCGGTGGATCAGAACGGCGCATGGAAGCAATTACATTTTTCACTAGATTTTATGTCTTACAACATGTGAAATAAATATAATACGAATAAACATATTTTTGTATTATTTTGTCTTTTATTAAATGTTGTCCCAAGATACAATTAATCTTGGTCCAAAGTACATGACCGTGTTGTACTTTGCATAAAAATGGCTTAATATATTACTGCTTTCATAAACAATGTTTATTGAAAATCACCTTGATATCCGATTTACAAAAAGGTTAGCTGTAACTCAGAAACCAGTGGTACATAACCCCATAAACCTTATTTTACAAAGACCTTGTTAAGAAAGGAATCGAAGGATGTGAAAATATACATGGCGTTACATTCGAAAATTTTGAGAAATCGTTCTTTTTACACCGAATAAACTATAAAAAAAACTGAGAACGTAAGTGAATAGGAAGCAAAAATGGGATAACAATTTTTTTAGATAACATGTAATAACGGAGTTATCGACCCAGCCCACTAAAAACTCACCCTGTATAATTTTTTAGATCGCTCACATATTCTGGACACCCCTGTACATGTTTCGCTATGTAGCTACTATGCATACAATCTTTCTGTACATTGGTGCACTATATTGGCCAGCAATGTCAACTGATCTAATCCCTATCAAACTTTCCCTAATATTTTTTTAAATTTTGATAACAATTTTGAGCAAGGTCAATTACCTAACTAATCTCATGTTTTAGCTTAAGAAAATTAATACTTAATTTTTTATAACCTACCACTTATATCACATATCTATTTAATAAGCAACTAATGCCACAGTTTTTTTCCTATGAAATTAAGCATATAAAATTTTCTCAAAGACTCAAACTATAGGACTCTAGGTGAAAGCAAAGTAAAACATTTTTTACAATGTGAAAATCAAATGAAATCCTTAGTTTGAAAAGACGGACCAGGATCAGATTTATACGGGGTGTTACCACAACAAGTCAACAAATGAGTGTGTTCTCCAAATCAGTTAAAATCATTTCATCTTGAAACATTCTTCAAAAATGTGTTTTTCCTAAGATTTTTTATATATGTCCAAGAAATACTATGCATATTTGTATCAACATGAAAGGAGTTTGAGGTTTATTAGCTCACAATTTAGCTGCCTATTATAAAAGCTGTATGAACCACTGAGGGGTCAAAGACGCTTTAAAATCTTTTGGGGCTGATATAGGTATTTTCTAGTTTTATGTGGTGTTAAACTTGTAGACAAAAAACTGTGACATTCTCCTGTTGTTTTATCTCTAAGCCCTTCGCTTTGTAATTTTATAAAACGAGTTCAACAATATTTTGCTATCTATATATCTTATCTAGCGGGCAAGTTTTTCTCCACTAAACGTCCTTACTTTAAATTATGTTCCACAAGGAAACGTATCACAAATTTTCTAACCATCTGCTTAGGGTTTTAATGCACACTAAAAAAATTGAAAGACGCAAAACTTCCGAAAACGTTTTTCGCAGTCCGAAATTTAAAAGCGTTGTTTATGAAAAAACAATGAGAGGTCAATTCGTTTAAAAAGTGAATCAATATAAAAAAGACCGGGAGCTCTAAAAAAATAGTTTTTGGGTAAAGTGGCAACACTATAACAGCAATTTTTTGGTAAAAGCATGCAAAACCTCCATAAGGGCTGGAGTCTACCCGACTGCCGCACATCTGAACCTTACAGTGTTGCCACTCACAGACTTTATCTGCCAATCATACGATTTGAAAATACCGATTTTTCAAACGATTCTGGTATTATTTCGCGTTTTGCCTTTATCAACTGACATTGCCAGCCCAATGAAAATAATCTAGAATGTCCGGCAAATCTCAAACGGTGAAAGGCGTCAAATTGTATAAAAAGCATCTGTTGCACACTCTGACCGGTTTCACGTGTCCATATTTTGGTAACGGAACACTGTTCGAGGAACACCGGGCACAGAACACCTAGAAAAAAAAAGAGAGAAATCAAGACAAAATCACAAAAATCGCGCACAAAATAAGGCTTTGGCCAAATGTTGCTTTTTGGCTAGTTCCACTGATTTATTCTACAAGAAAATACCCAATCATATGCTGAATTCGGACGGTCACAAACAGGCATTAACCCCGTATGTCACGATCAAATTTCTCATCTTATTTATTGTGCAGGAAACTGAATAAACGTAGGGTATCACAACTACGCACTTTTACATCCAATTTCTCTCGGATTTAGGATTTGTTCTAAACCCTACTTCGCGAGTATCCGTCACGTTTTGACCTCTACTGAGATGAACAGCTGATCAGCAAGGCACATCTTTGTATTAGTCTGTAACGAGGAACCAAAAAGGCATTGAAAATTTTAGCCCTCATCTCTAACACGAGCTCTTCTCATGGATTCATAAATTCATTTTTGTGTTGTTTATATTATAGATGGTGCCAGTATCAAACGTATCGCTTTTTAGCGCCAAAATACAGTATGATTGGGTACAGTATTTATTATTGAACATGACACTAATCTTCCAACGAATTTAGTCTTATTTAAAAAATATCACAAATTATTGTTAAAAACTAAAGACGTATTTTTTCTTATTTATTGATGTATTAGTATTGTAAAACCATAATTAGGCCTTGAGATTATCAGACCGTCATTTGTTTCATAAAATAATCAACCTAGCATTCCTGCATATTTGTCAAAGATCTAAAAAAATTTCCGATTGTTAAAATTACATCATCATTGATTAATTTTAAAAGACACGCTGAAGTTACTTTTTAGACATTTATTTATTTCATAGTTCGTAAAAACTAATGATATAAGACTGGATTCATGATACAAGAGAAATGACTATGTTGATCTCAAGGTTTACTTAGGAAATACTGTTTTTTTTAATATAGTTTTAAGGTGAATTTCACCAAGATTGTCAAATCAAGCTGTTATTTTCCACCTATGGGTAAAAGTCAGTCAAATATTTATAGCGGATGAGCTTTAAGATCTATTCAACAAATTTAGTAAAGCAATGAAATATTGAAAACAAAATATTGTCAAAGTATGAGATGACAGTTTGTCTTTGAAGCATCACCAGTTTATTGAATACTAAGATATTACATATAATTCAGTCAGAATTTAAAAAAAATTTTGATTTTTGAAGAAAATTCATGTTTTTTTACTTTTGTAGATTGTTTATTAATTTATATATTATTTTCTGCAATTGATATGCGATTTTAATGATTTAACATATATCGTCTGTTTCTTCCTAAAACCCCTCGCAGATAACCATTAAACACCTACTTGATGACAAAGACTCTACCAAAAATTTCATATTATATTGCAGATACTTATTTGAAACACATCATAGAACAAACTAACAAAACTAATCACATATTTCGTGCTTAGGAGTCATATCAAACTGATCGTTTGCCAACTGTCTCTGGGGGAGTAATAGTATCATCATAACATAATATACACATACAACTTGATGAAAACAGAAGTTATTCTCAAAACCTGTAAATTAACACATAGCTTTAGCTTTTAGGGCAGTTCGTGGAGTATTATACGATTAGTTTAGTAACAAAAGAGAAACATCTGCTTGATATTAAAAATTTGTCTAAGCTCAAATTGCTTATTTGACCAATCGTTGGTGCATTTGCTCTCCACCGTGGCACTCGTTAAAACTGTGGTTTATAACTTCATGAAAACGGAAGATATTCTGAAAACCTGGGGTGAATTTATAAATCAGTTGGTAATATAATACCATACAAAGTAAAGGAATGTAGACAGACAGATGAAATTTTACTCTGAATACTGTGTAACTTTATTTTTGAAACGCCTAAATTATTAAAGAGTCATGAAATGACACTTGATGATAGTCCTCTAATTTCTACCCACATTGTCTGCGACCTTTTTTTTTATGATGGATACAAGGTAGCCTATTTATCTTGAAATATATAAAATTTTGCAATGATGAGTTCTTTTTGATAACCAAATAAAGTAAACAAAGAATGTACCATGAGAATGACAAGTGATAACACTTATTTAAAAGGAAATTGTACTTTTGACGTTGCAGAAAGATTACTTCCTATTTTTAAGCGCATGAAACAGGTACGTCAAGCAATAGCGAACGCTGAAATTGTTACAGAGTGTACTTTGTACTACTCGAACGCAGCCCTGTATTATCCCATAGCTATTTAACTTTCAGAGACCTACCCGGAATTTTATATGCTTATAGATGTGTTTACCTTGCCACAGTTTCGACAATGGTGCCTCCGTTTGACGACTGTGAAGTTTGCTCCACACGACATGCACCTGGGTGCCTCGATGTCTGGAATCCACGCTGGGGGGCGCTGGTGTTGCATGTGAACTTGCTGATGGTGCGGATGGTGGTGCAGATGGGCGATGTCTTCGCGAAGAGACACGTATCTGAAAGATAAAAAGTAACTTAATACATAAATTGAAGGGCTTGGGGCAATTAGATACAGGCTGTCCGGCTATAAATTGACCCCCTCCAACTTTTTATATGACCTTCTAGAAGAAAACGTTGTATATAAAAGTTATAGAGTCTAATATGAAGTTTTTCATGTGATTTTTTTTTGTAGTGCTATCGAATAATGTTGTATTTTTTTAATGGAAGGTCATGTATATTTTCAGTGAAGACAATAGTCCCTCCTTGTTTGATCCGAAGTATATATGGTTTGCTAAGTTCATTTCTAGTACTTTTGTCAACAACTTGTGTGTCATTTAATCATATGTATTCCGGCCTTATACCAGATAGTCATGCAAGCCAAATGCAAACTGGTTGGAACTCTAATACACATAAGTAAATGACACACAAACTTGAAGTTTTTGAACAAACTAATGAAAATAAGTATAAGCCATGTATACGAGTATATTTTGGATCAGAGAATAGGAATAATCATTTTCTCTAAAAATATATAGGGTGTTCCATTTAAAAAAGTACAACTTTATCCGATAGCACTTTTCTCAGACACAAAAAATATTACATGAAAAACCTAATATTAATATAAACTTTTTTCCGGAAGATTATATAAAAAAGTCAGAGGGGGTCAATTGATAGCCACATTGGCTTTATTTCGAGTAAGAAGTTATAAGGTTTACATGAATTCTAAAATACGTTCCTTGCTTAATTTCGATTGAAATGCTACATGTTTACATTTTGAGGAACAAAGATTTCGTGACATCAGAATCAAAAAATACAGGGCGACAGCCGGGAATCGGATATTTTTGGAACGTATAGTACGAATCATGAGGCGATTAGAATGGACCAAGTGCATCGTTATTGTAGTAATGACGATGGAACATCACGTATTTGCATACGACACGGTTATCCGTAATAACGAGTCAGAGATAACTACGCAGCGGTTTTTCGCACTCACTCTAATATTGGTAAGCGTGGAGCTGTTCCATCTCGCAACGTAATCTTAAAATGTGTGAAGAATCTAAAAACAACAGGTAATCTAATGAAAAACGCACTGAAAACGTAGAGAGAGTAAGAGAAGCGGTTATCAGAAGTGATACACGGTCCGCCCGAATTGAATTAAACATGATTCGGGAATCGTTTAGCACGATAATATCAAACTAATTAAACTAAATATTTTCAATATGTATTTGATTCAATACAATGTTCCTATTGATCAATATTTTGGACTGGTTGTATCGAGACGATTAAGTTGGTTTTTATCGTACGTCCTGAGGAAGAAAATAGACATTTTCGAAAGCTCGGCCTGAACAAAGGACAAACTTCCCGGCCTGATTTTATTTTCTTTTTTGGATTGTGCTTGCAATCAAAATTACCGTTCTGTCCAAACATGGAAGTAATTTCGTAAATGGCAGTTCTCTATTCCAACAAAGTCGATTAATAGCTTAGTGTTGTTAACATTCCACTTAATTTCCCCCTCTCCTACTTTAGGAGACCAGGCTTCCTATAAATGCAAAATGATGCATTTTTCGAGCTCAAAAAAAAACTATATATTTTTTTGTAGTATTTCACTAAGCTACTCATCTCTTGTTAAATCAGTCAAATGTACAATATGCTAAAAAAACAATTATTTCCTCTCAAATTCCAGATCCAGCTCACGGCAACTAAGTTAAATTAAAATTTAGCTTCAATTAAGGTTATGTCTACAACAATTCCAATAGAATATTTCGGAATTAGTTTTGAACTGCATGTTGGAACAAACCTTTAATCAAAGTGTGGGAAGTATTGTGTCAATAGTCAATCATTTTATTTTTGTCAACTCACCTGCTATAATCCGAGCCCGCATCTGAATCTCTTCTCCCCCCCACTCTCGGCAGATTCTCGTACTCATCCTCACACCCCTCTTGTACCCCCTCCAAATGAAAGTAGACATTCGTGTCGAACAACGCCTCCTGCGCTAGGATATTTGGGTCTACCGAGAATTCATCTGTTTCGATGACGTCACTCTCAGCGGGGTGGTACTCCATGGAAGCTTCGAGGGAGGGGGGCGGTCGAGGAGAGGGAGAAGCGCGATTAGGAGGGGAAGTAGGAGAAGTATCGGTGGGCGGTGGAGGAAGGCAGCCACCGTCGCTGGCGTTCATTAGGAATACGGATTTCAGGATGTTGCGAAGATCGCAGGCGAAATTTGTTTGCAGTTGGTCGGCGACGCCTGAAATAAAAGATAAGAGAGATATATCTTTTTTTTATACTTGAAGCACCACGAAGGCCTAAGCACCCGGCTATAGGGGAAACAGGGAAAAGGGGGACGCCACACAGACTCTAGCGAAGGAACACGTGTGCATGCAACATGCACACATTGTGGCCTCGCCTTTGATATCCGCCGGGTGGTACCTCCACGTTCGACAGTCAGAGACCATCTACCACCTACGCACAGTCACAACATCCATAGTCAAGAGAAAAGTTCTATTGGGATGGGATTCGAACCCGCGCATCGCACGGCAACTGGTTAGTAGATCCATGATATCTACCTCAACGCCACCGCTGCTGTCTTGGGACATATGTAGTTTCCATTAACTTGGTAGAGGAGTAATGAACAAAGTCTTGATGACGGGCGTATACCAAATACCAAATAACACTGGTTATATGGCAGCAAATTCCAATAGTTCGAAAAGCCCAATTTACAGCGGCAATGATGCCCGAGTATCCGCTCATCATCATCACCTTCTCCTTCATCTTCTTCTTCAATTTTATTAGGCTTATAGGCTACCCATAGTCGGTTCTTTGTAGCATTGAGAAATCGGGAATAAATGTTGTATTTATTTAAACTCAACATGCCAAAATCGACGATACAGCGAAAGTGCTTCCCGCGAAGTCACACCTTTTCGATTATTTATTACACTGCCACAATCTGCAACTCGCACACCACCAACGCTAGAATCTCTCACGTATCCAGTTTTTTACCCAGAATAATACAGAAGCGACATATTACAATTTAGGGCAATTTGACAGGGGATCAATTTTCGCATCCGTACTATTGAAAAAAAAAACAAAAAACTACACACAAGCCAACATCCGGTAGGTGGATCAAAACAGCATTAAAATAGGAGGAACCATAAGGTTAGGGTGACTTTTTCGCGAAACCGTTTCTTTGCATTTGCTACACTTGCGCACCCTGCAACTCGAAAACCATTGATATCAAAGCCTTCTGTTCATGAAGACTTATGATCAAAAAGATATGGAGGATAACATACCAAAATTTTAGCTAATTTGACCGGGGAAAATGTTACGTCAATATTTAGATGACTTGCGAACCCTGCAACTCGGAAGCCTTTTGATCGAAATGGTATAGACGATATCATATTAAAATACCAGCCAGTGCAAGCAGAATTGTCTAGGAGAAATGTTGAGATTGGATTCCATCAAAAATTGTGTGAAAAATCGGTATTATAAATTTCTAATCAATCACAAAGGAAGTCATAAAATCACGTTGCTATCTGTCGCAACCAAACATTTTTTTCGAAATTATCAAGCTTGAACACACAGTAGCTCAAAAACCGTCTATCCTAGGACCATATTGCAATAGAGACTCACGATCATATTGGCATGGAGAACATACTAAAATTCCAGAAAACTCGACCGGCAGAGGTATTATGTAAAAAAACTAGAAAACGTCGAAAACAACCGACTAAATGTCATCTTGCAGACTAGGTAGTTTTTACTGTGCAAATAGTTCATTCCACGTTTACTCGCTATGATCGCTGTTCGCTGACGTTTTGGCAACAAAATGAGTTCACAACAAGTGTACAACAGCTTGTGCTAAGTTAATATTTTGCAGAAAAACCTTCGTTATGTCACAAAAACCTACGACATGTCAAAAAAACGACATAATGGCACTTTTGAAGACAGTAATCCCCGTGCGGGAATCAACTGCTACAAGGAATGAGCCATGTTTTCCCGACAGAACCAGTATCGTCTTATCGAAGCGTTACACCATGCCATTTCCCTCCGGATAGTGCAGTTGTAGTGATCTTCCAGGTTTCTGCATTAGTTGTGTGGATCAGATGTGTCCGAGAATTAGGTGCAAATCTGTTGGTTGCATAAAGAACACAAAAACTTAATGCCGTAAGATCCTACAAAAAAATGTCCTACAGGGGTCGACTGCACAGTTCTAAACAATTGGTCTCAAAATGTTTTAATCTACTTTGGCCATTTGCACGTCGGCATACCGGTCTTAGCGTTTTTGTTAACTGAACAGTAACCACTGACTGAGTATGTTAATGATTTAGGAAGCAGAAGCAGCCATTCCGTTGCGGGAGTCAATCCAGCTGTATTGGACAAACAAAGGAGGAATATTGCTGGTTCCATCGCCGAACATAGAAGTTATCCCACCATGTTTTATAAGTACTCTAACAGGGGGAAATTGCAATCAGTGCTTTCCAAGTGCCTGAGCTGCTCGGACGTTTCGAGCCATTTTGCCTTGAAAGGTGATGATGAATGTAGAACCTGAAACAATGTTGTGAGTAGTGTGTGGTGTCTCGTATGGATAAGTTAATGTCACGTGACGTCACGTACCTCAGATGTGGGTGAGCCGTACCCTTGTGTGTTTCGGTGCTGTTTTGCGTTGGCGTCGTTCGTTTTGTGTGTTGCAGGTTTTTTTATGTTAATGACTTCTATTGTACTTCAACAAACATACGTCTGAATCGAGTCGAATGACTGCATTACATACAGGTCAAACATCTGCTGTCAATAACGTCCCCGCTAAATTTCGTGTTCATAGATCAAGCAGTTTTAGAGATGAATTTGTATACACTTAACTTGAAAGGTAATACGGTTTCCCACAGAAATATGCAAATTCCACATGTCTCATTCTAGAGAAAATTTCTAGAATTCTTTGTTAATGTTTTGACGTCACGTGGTGTGAGTGAATCATACACTTATATTCGGTTTGTTTCGATGTTGATTTAGGTTGGCCTCATTCAGTTAGTGGTTGGGGCATATGAATCGACTTGAATTAGTACTTTACTGTTGGACTTCACAACACCACAACGTGAATGAATTTTAATAGTTTAAACATTGAATCAGTATTTTTTCACAACACTAACATTAATCTAGAGTGTAAATAATTCAACAGATGACCGCAAACACTAATTTTTAGCTAAAAATGCTAATATAACTTTCGTCAACTCAAATGAATAGGTTATGTTTGTGTACAGCGCAAAAAGCGAATCGTATCACCAAGGATGGTGTGGATCTCGGAAATCTAGTGGACGTAGAACATAGCGAAGATGGTTTGCGCATTAGAAAATGTCAACATAACCTGCCACAATCTTTATGTGCTTACAATTTTTCGACACGAAAAACTACTGGAAACAAATAACGACATACTATTATCAAGTACAGCGTAAAAACCTAATTCCCAAGATTTTTCATTTCACTCACGTTTTGCTCTACTCTGTAGATCTATTACTTCGTGGTTTAGTAATATTATCCCATATTTTTGCTTACAACTCGTCCGAACAGTCAAAATTGGAGTTGTTTACGGTAATGATGACTGCAACGGATGAGAAATGCCACATGCACAGAACCTGAAATTAATTTTCTGCGCTGGGTATATACGAGAGAGATGCTCTATGCGCAGCACCTAAAATTGATTTCCTCTACTTCATAGTCAACTTTTTTAACCTTCTATCTCTAATCTCCATGGTGAAGTCCAAAGAAAGAGAATTACTTTTGAATGTTTTAGAAACGCACTGTTAAAAATAGTTAATGAAATATAAAAAAAAAATGAACAAACATAAATTACAACGGTATCCTACCTGCTATACAAACAAACAGTCGATGGAGAAGGTCTTCACTTGATCTGAAACAAAAATGAAATATTAAATTAATATCTTAAGTTGTAGAACAATAAATCTAGAAAGCTAGTCTTTGAATTAGGTAGTTATTTAGTTAATTTTTGTAGGTTAAAAAATTTATCACGTGATATTTGCTAACAAAAAATAAAGTCTGGATCAATACGCTCTTTCGAAAACGGTCATAAAAGAATCCTGCAATAGTCCATAGAATCATTATTTAAATGTTCAGGAAATATCCTGTATTTCAAACAAAGAGCAACAGAATAAGTTTCAGAGATGATTGATCAGACATGATAGAATATTTTTATTTGGATTAAACTTTCCCGATTTAAAATTATATCTGGATATTGTTGCATTGGTGAACAATTAGCCCACTTGAAAATCACTTAAGACGTAATCAGGTCATTTCAATTGTTGATTTTACCATCGCCTAGTGTATAATTATCGTATCCAATTATGTTAGTGCTCCGGTAAAGTTAGATCGAATTTGATAACTTGCAAGCAAAAAGGAATATGAGAGATACTAACGCCACCTATGAGAGAGTAGCAGAACACAAAAATGAAATCAATTTGAAAATACATTTGAAAAATAGTTAGAATATTTGGTTTCGCTAATGTCTCATAGATGACGCTAGTAAACTTCAGATTCTTTTCGGTCGCAGGCATACAGTATATGGTTGGCTATCTCATCATCAGGAAAAAGTTAAATTTGACTCACACCCCCGCTCATAAGATCAAGAACAATTGGGTATTGCACCACGATAATACTCCTTGTCACACAGCGATGTCAATAAACCAGATTTTAGCCAGCAAAACATTCATGTAGCACCTCAGTCTCCTTATTCGCCTGACTCGAGTCATTGTGACTTTTTTCTCTTCCCGAAGTTCAAAAATCACCTCAAGGGAAGACATTTTGGGATATCAAAAGCATTCAAGCGGCTGTAACCGACCATCTGGAGGCTATTCCAGTATCGGAGTTCCAGCACTGCTCTGAGGAATGGAATAACCTGGCGCTGTGTGGCGTCTGACCGTTCGAAATAAAAATCATTTTATAGATAGATACGTGGGTTGTCTCAAAAATAAGGTTCCTAACCCAACGCTGTCTCTTTGCCGCGCTAGGCGAAATCTGGCAACACCGTCGAATTTGTCGACTCTGCCACCACCGATCCCAACAAGAAGCGCCTACATGGGGTACCGGCCCGACAGCCATGCGCGATGGAGCTCTTCATCGCCGTCACCGCCAGGTGCGAAAGTCGTACAGTCATCCGATTTTTGCACGCAAAAACGTTACCACCCACAGAAATCCATCGCCTCTTGAGTGAAGAATATATAGAAGCGTGTATAAGCATTCAACATGTCCTCAAATTCCTCAGGCTTCTCAAAAACTGAGACGGCCAATCCAAAATCGTCGTAGGGCAAAACTCACCAAAGCGTACGACTGCACCACCACATTGCGTATCCTCATGTCTTACAACAAACGAAGGACTTAATCGAGCGATTTGGTTGGGAAGACATTGCCCAAACAAATTCCTTGAGCCAGAAAAAAATGTATTTCAAAAAAATTATTTATTTGAAGTATGTTACTAGGCTTCGTGCGCGATTTTAACTGGAATTTTGGAAAATATCTATTGACGATTTTCTTTAGAAGCCTGTACATCCTCCTGAATTTGACTGTGCTATCGCGGGGGGTTTCATCCACGCGTTTAAATATCAAGGTCCGCGCGTTATAAATCCATGTCAGTTTCCAGTGTGGCATTGACGCTGCTTCTTAATTAATGCATTTATATGGCTGTAATGATCCACTGCATGCATTTATTACGCAAATGACGTGGCGTCCCGACTCAAGCATCACTTAAACTATAAACATGTGATCTGGTAAATGATGGGGCTTCCAAATGCCTTACGGCAACGTGGATTTTGATATTGTGTAGTGCACCATGTTATTTAACTATCAATTCTCTCTTTAGAAATGTAATGGGCAACAGAACATTATTACAAAAACGAAAAAGCCGTCTGTAATAACAGAAAATTGCATATTTTAATTACTACTTTTGGAATGAGCTATTGTTATTTTACAAAATTTTGAATCATTCAATTTTAATTGCCCTATCAAAACGTATAGTCTAAAGACACCTGAAATGTCAAAATCTTTCAAGCCGTTTGGGCTTCAGTACGTAAAATATAAATTTCAAAGTTGAAATTTGCGTTTAAAATCCGCCCTCTCGATTTGATAAAATTTAGTATTAAAATCAATTAGAGAACGTAACCGTTACATTGAAAAAACGATAGATAACATCATGCTCGCTTGTCGCTTTGAAGGGCTAGACGTTCGTTTGAGAGAGGGACTGCCTACACCAAGAAGCCGTGGCGGTGATATCTTAAAATTGCATTGATGATACAGCACTGTTCTAACAACACACTGCATAGGAATGTAAAAAGGAAAGAAAAAACAAACGGAGGGTCTCCTTGAAGACAAAATATAATCATCAGAGTTGTAATTTATACTTGAAAAGGGCCAACGTGGACAAAATAAGCATATATGTCGTTTCATTTAGCGGCCAGACAAGAAGTCAATTGAACTTTTGATATCCTTTGTACAAATACTTAGGAACAAAGATAAAAAATATATAATTTGCACCAATTAAATAAAAAATGAGAAAACCTGCTCATTCAATCCTTCCCTCTTATCAACATTCCACTCTTATTAAAAACATAAAAATTAACTGAAAATACATAGTATAAAGCGAAGTGTGGAAAGTTTGTTATCACCAGAAACAATGTTGATTTAAGAAATAATGAGACGCTATAAACAAAGGAATTATCATATTATTATTATTTATCACTTTTGATTAGGTCAACAGTACGATCTTCCTACTTATAGCTCAATTTTTTCCCACATTTGTGTTGTGGGGCTGTTGGAAACAAAACAACTGTATATTTGAAATAAATATTACAGAATCAATGGAAATGCCCCACTAAGGGAAACGGTAATCCCTACTAATATGATCAATGCGTTTCGTTTTCACGCCAAAACGGTTGAATCGATTTTGATGAATTTTAGTATAGACATAGATTAAACATTGGAGACGAACTTTGTTGCGAAAATGTAACTTCAACGGGTTAAAATAGGTGGTAAAACTTACTATGGGGAAACTATTATTCTTAGCTCTCTTGATGCTAAAGAGCGTAGAATATTTCAAATTAACCCAGCCTAGGAATAGGAGTATGTTTTGTCTAGAATGCTAGAGAAAGTTAAGTGTATAAATCTCAAAAACTAATTGACCTATGCACAGGAAATTTAGCGAGGAAGTACCTTGTGGAAAAGACATGTCGGCTCAGAACAAATTTTCCGACAGGGCGGGATTAAACATACAAAAGCGTGAATATCTGCACCCACTAATCTTGACATGTCGATAGCTATTTGACCTATGAAAATAAAATTTGACAGGGAGGTAGTTTATGGAGAAGACACGTCAGCTAAGAAGGGATTTTGCCGCAAGGCTAGATTAATGGGGGCTAAGGGCAGATATATGTAGAAGCAAAAACATTCTCATTAATCACGAAATTTCGAAAACTATGTGAGCTTGTAATTCGGTAGGAAGATAGTTTATTGGCAAGAAATGTTAGCTAAGAATGGATTTTACTACAAGGCCAGATTAAATGAGAATAGATACATTTAAAAGTGTGTATGAAAGACCTTTGTTTTTCTACTAGAGACCTAGACTTAAACTGAGAATGGATTTTGTGATATGGACGAAAAAGGGTTTACGGGCTGTTACAATTTTATAGATATTCCAAATCAAAAATCAAGGAAAGCTGAGGACATGCAAGGGTTTTCAAGGACATCCAAAATAGAGTCGGTCATTAGCACTCCGGGTATTGGGTTAAAGGTGTATTTAGCTGAAAGTAGCTGAATAAACTCTGACTGACCTGTACTTAGCCCTAATCTCGTTCCTACTGCTGATCTCAGCAGCCTGCATGGCTAAAGCCAACTCTTCATCATCCACGCAGTTACTGTGGAACGAACTTGTGTCAGAGGAACTGCCCGTACTAGAAGTGTCTTCTTCAACTTGAGTCTGTCCCTTTTTCCTTAATGCTATCACCCCTGGAGAAAAATCTGCTTGACGTGCATGCATCATTTTTCTGCTACCTGTAAGACAAGAATAACGTTATATTATTCTAAACAATCGGATGTTCCCCACCTAACCAAAATGTTCTTAGCTTAAATAGACTATCTATCCGTACATTAAAAGAGAAATCATTAATAGCTCTTGTACCCTGCTGAAAAGCGTAAAACAACGTTGTATATCGTTGGTTATGATCGAAGAGACGGAGAGCAAACATATACTATTTAGCCTTTTGAGAACCAATTTTACCACTTTTCGTTCATAGAAAAAATATGCAAAGGAGATATTACTAAAAACTCCCTAGTTCGACTGGACTATAAAATTTTCTGGATCTGAACCGAGAACGGGCAGCTCGACTACGATTGGTCGATTAGGGCTTGACACAACAGCTACCATGTAACAGAGTGAATGGGCATCTAGATCGCAGTTTTCTTTGTATTCTTACGAGCTGTGCACAGATTCTCACCCTGAATCCTCAAAGCCAACACACAGCAGTAAGCTAAAGGAGATAATAAACTTTGCTTTCGAGGATATAGCTGAAAATGGCATTTTATATTTTACCTGCCTAGATCTCAATTAGGATGTCCTGTTTCAGCCAAGGGGCTATGACTTGTGTTCCTGATCTATTTGAACAACCCTCGGTCGGGCGGAGTGATCCGCCATTTTGTCAAGGCTAGGTCGTATAGAAGGGCGTTGAAAGAACGAAGGTAGCCCTCAAAGTTATCCCAGACTTTCCAGAACAGAATCCCAAGTTAAGTTTCCGGAGTTATTATTAATGATTGGTACATTTTTAAGTGGTGAATTTTTTATCACAGGTGGTGGTACTCAGGTTCAATGATTGTACTTGTTGCGTTTTTTATCATTTTTGTTATATAATTATCTACATTATGGATTTGCTGTGATTGTTTTCATTAAAATGTGAAATGATATCTGCATTTCATTAAAACAACTAACCCTTGGTGGAACCTGTGGAGAGCCGTCCTGAGTTTTTCTCTCTCTCGCTCTCTCTCTCTCTCTCTCTCTCTCTCTCTCTCTCTCCTAGCCTTTGATTATTGGGGAATAATATTGTAATTCCATCGATTTAAAAAGTTTCGAAAATATCCCACTACTTTTATCATTATCCATATAAACATTATCAAGAGCTGCCCTCTGGTATGCTTTTATTTTTAGAATAATGTATGTACTCCCGAAATCTGACTATCCTAAACTGATTTAGCGAAGCTGTAAGGGAACACAATGAATGTTTTGTTATGATGCAACATACCTGTCGTGGACGTTGTCTTTTTGCAAAAACAATTGCATGGAGCGGTCACCGTTGTTGAGATGTCCGATGCTGTGCAGGTACAGTGCTTCGTTTCTGTGGTCAGCTCCAGACTTGGAGATCTGCAACATTTATGTTTTTTTGATAAAGGCAGAGTTAAAGATAGATTTTGTTTTTATCGCTGCTCGCTATTTTTATAAATAATTGCTATCTTAATGTTGCTGTTTGAACTTTTCATCATTACACGAATACCAAAATACTTTCCTACAACCATTCGAAAAAGTATTGTTCGCAAATGGGAACACTAAGTTGTCAGTTGCCGCGCCCGATAAATTCAGTGTTGTCGTTCTTCTAAAGCAAAAAAAAAATAAATCGACTTTGCATAGATACAAGCAAATTTGATTTCAGATGTTAATTTGGTTAAAGATTTCACATACCTATCCAAGCTGGCCGTCTCAGTGCAAACTCCAGAATCATTTGGCGATTCTAGGTCATCTGTCCTCTCTGGGGGTCCAACTTCTCCCGTGCTGAGAATCGAAGACAAAGTGGCAGCAGCCGCTGAAATCATCTCCAAGGAATCACGATCTGGAGGTGATTCCATGACACCTACAATGATAGTAAACAATAGCGTAAAAGTGTGGTAAACTTAGCCCGGTAAGGGAACCCAAAATCACCACAAAACTTAACAAAACACCAATAATAGATGGACATTTGGATTTAGGTCACTGAAATCGGGCTCTATAGCATAAAAGTTCCGTCTCCTGCAGTAGGCAGGGACTGAAAACTTTTGGTTTTTGGTGTTTTTGTTATGGTCCTTTAAATATTATATATAAAGAAGTGCTCTAAACAATGTTGTAGGTTATACAGGGTGCGGCAGAGAGGATAGACGGTTTTAAAAACATCATAAAATAGTTAATTTTTACTTGCAAACAAACGGTTTTAAAAAAATCATAAAATAGTTAATTTTTACTTGCAAACAAATTTATTGATGGAATCAGGTTCACCAGGAAATAGAATTTGAGACAGTCAAGTGTGGAAAATCACATCAGGCATGTGGTGGCCGAAATCGTTGATGCAGTGCTGGAGGCGTTCTTGGAAGTTCGCGTAGACTCTCTCCAACATCGCTCTCTCAACTTGGGTGACTTCCACGCGAATTTCGCCCTTCAATTCGTCCAGAGTTCGGAGCTTGTCCGTGTATACTCTAGCCTTGAGGTGTCCCCATAAGAAAAAATCGCATATGGATAAATTTGGGGACCGAGGAGGCCAATGAACATCGCCAAACCTGGAAATAAGGCGACCAGGGAAGAGAGGGCGAATAACGTCCATGGATGTTCGGGCTGTGTGGGCGGTCGCCCCATCCTGCTGGAACCACACACGTCGGATTGGAACACGTCGCAAATCAGGGAGAAAGAAGTTGGTGATCATGTCGACGTAGCGCTCCGAGTTCACGGTAACATCACGACCATTACCGTCAACGAAGAAATAAGGGCCAATGATGCAAGTTTGCGATACAGCGCACCAAACCGTTACTTTTGGGCTGTGCAGCGGTCTTTCGTGTAACTGTTGCGGATTTTCATTAGCCCAATAACGAAAAATCTGCTGGTTAACCATGCTGTTTAGGTGAAAGTGGGCTTCGTCACTCATAGACGAAAACGCGGTGCTCCACCGTCCAAGGCTCCATAACGACAACAGGTAAAATAATGCTAGGATCTCACGAGTCAAACGGCACCCTCCCCACCTCTCTCGTAGACCGAGGCGGAGAGTACTACCCATCCCAAAAACGTCCGTCCTCTCTGCCGCACCCTGTATAATATATAAGCTAGAGAAGTTGAAGAGTCATTTTTCCTGGTGCTAACCTTAGTCCATACGTAAATTCACACAGCTGAGCACAAATATGCGTTATGCTTGATACGAAAATTTGGACATTTGGTACATATAAATGTTGTCAAGGTCTTTTGGAATAGTTTTGTCAAGAGCTTAAAGACTCCAATACAACATAAAACAATACTCTATTGGAGTTATTGTACATACAGTACTTACACATGTCTCTGTGTAATAAAATTTTATAGTATACATAGATAATCGCATGTTTATAGTAGTAGTCGATTGCAGATCACTCCGCTCCTCATGCCTCAAATCAACGGTTGCAATGGGGAATGTGGGGGAAGAGGTACTGGAATAACATTATTTTCAGGGAAGTCTGGTTTTGGCATAGCTAACCCCTATTTAACTGGTATTTACGCCGCGTTCAATCCAACACGAGCTCTCCATGTTCAAACTCTTGAGATACGATTGGCCAGTAGCTGGTTACGCCACAAAGAATCATTACGACCGGAAAAGGTGCGCGACCGAGCATTTACTTATAAAAATGAAACAAGTTACTGCTGTTAGGAAGTGAACTCGGTACCTTCAGCATGAAAGGCACAAAGGCCTGCAGTTTTCAAAACCCGTAATTATACTTGGGAGATCCCTTCTATCATTACCTGTGCCGGACACAATCTGGGTAGGTGCAATCTTTTCACAGATTATTATTGAGTATTTTCTCAAATTATCATCTGAAATTATCATCTCTCATTGAAAAAAGTGTTGAGGTTTTCACAAAAATATTGTCTTTTTTGTACTTGTATGTAAAATATAAATATTATTTTAATAATACAAATACAACGTGTACAGAAAAACTGTTCAGGAAGGAAGTATATTTTTAGTTCCCTATGCAATGTTTATTAATGTTTTATATGCACACTCATTCATATATTGTCAAATAATGTCTAGAATAGGTAGTTTTAAAAATAATGACTAAACAAATACAGAACTTTGTTGTGGTATATTTTCATTTGTAAATAGTAGATTTCATTTGTAAATAGTAGATATATTTGTGTCTCAGTATAATTATTCTACAACAAATGGAGAATGAAAATCTACATCGGTTTGTCGCTATGATGCTTTTAAAAAGATTTTATGACCTGCAATAGTACGTACCCTAAAAAAAAAAATAATTTACTCACCTTGAAATACTTTTTTTCAGAAGATACATTTTTTGGAGCTATTGTAGTACGTTCACCTAAAAATTTAGTTTTTTCTGCGAATTTTTTAATTTTTATTGAATAGTGACTTTTGTAATCGGTTTGGTTTGGTTTGGGATCTCGGAAACTGTACAAGATATGACGCTTAAAGCGACATAATATCTCTTACCGTTTTCGAGATCCCAATGGTGAGCGTCAAATTTGAAACACCCGGTACAACATTTGAAGGATCGTACCAAAAAAATTCAAAAATTAAGGTTTTTCAAAACTTTGACAGTCCCTACATTGTCCACCGTACAATTGAGAACCTTTCATTAGGCTAAACTATTTCAATAACCTATATCTAAATTTTCAATTATTATAGAATTTTTTTAGCTCAAAGACATTCATTTACTATATGGACTACATACATATGCAATAAATGTATGAGCATATCTAGCTAAGAGATTAATTTTTGTGCGTTCACTAATATTTTCAATAAATATACTCCAAATTTAGCTTCAGAACTATAGGTCATGTACATTATTTGCCTTGCAATCTCTCGCTGGCAAATGATATAGTTTGTTTCAAACATACCCGAATGCTGTTGTTGTTGAGGCGAACTATTCGCGGCCATGATGGAACTATGGAATACGCTGGGTGGTATCAGCCTATTGGAAGTGGATGGTAACTCTACTGTTGTGAGAATATGTTGAGGCTGCTGATGATTATGGTTGTGGTGGAGGTTTTGTTTTGGAGAACGGGTACGTTTCTCTTTGGCAGATGAATTTTGTGTAACACCTGAAAAAAAAATGGCATCAAGTTGGTTGGTTCTGTACTTTCCGCGTAACTCTGGCTAAACAGACTGTCTATACGTCATGTATAGTATAGTCTAAGTCAACTATTTTACACTCTGGTATCTTTATTGTTTGCCGGCTATGAAAATCCGTATACCCTGACGTAAAGTCGTAGAGTAGAATGAATATCAGTGGAAAAAAAGCTGTTGCTTTGGCAAAAATTGAAATTATGGGTATGGAATACGCATGACGTTATAATATCTGAGTAAACTTTCTTACGTTATGGTAGGTTTACTATTCTTCAGCTATTGGAACCCTCACAGCTGGTTATGTAATGTAATGAATATGACTGGAGAAAAAGTATTGTTTTAAATTTTTTTGATATACTCGAGGACAACTTTCGTGCGCCCCGGTGTTATTTGCTTGAGGTAAAGGCACTAAAAATTAATGAGTTTCTTCATTCCTCAAAATATCTTCAAATTTGCAGATAACTGGTGAAAGTCTATTAGTTATTTCACACCTGAATAAGTACGGTCCTACTGTGTCTTCGCCCGAGAGCGAGCAGCGGCTAGTGAATATACACAAAATATTCTAACACAAACGTAGATATACGGAGTAAAATACTTGTGAAATATGCCTTATAGGCGCGTAAAAGTACGGGGGTCGGAAGTTTATAAATATACTGCCTCCAAAAAATTGCTGTACACCCTCCCCAATCCCCTACAATGCACCACCAACAAGTTTTTACCACTAAAATATTTATCTAAAATGATCGGGATCCTCTAAAACAAGATTTTTATTTTTCTCGTGTTTGTTCTTTTTCCTACCGCCACTGGACTGATGTTTTTAAACTTCAAAAATGTTTCATCTTTGGCATAGTAATAACCTTGTTTTCTTTTATATCGAAGCAGCCTAAATGCCGGAACACCGCGGCTGCTATGATGATCCCAAAGAAATTTTGCTCTGCCTAAGGTTAGTAGAACTGGGAAAAGCTTCCTCTTGTAGATTGTTCCACAATCTCGACACCGTCGGGACAAAGGAGCGGTCGTATCGGCCAGTTCTGGATGTACGAAGTTCTATTCAGTAGGTATTTATTTTTTTTCATTTATTGAAAACCATCACCATGGAAATCAAGCGTCACTGAAGGTCATTGAAGTTAAAATTTTGCTCACACACACATTATTGGGATCTCATCATGAGCCATAATAGGACTTTCTTTGCCTTTAGTATATTGTTGTTTTTGTATAGGAATTCTTTGTCAGGATTTGTTTCTCGATTATTTCTTTTAATTTATGTTGTACGTAAACCCATAACAGAGTTTTACTCCAGTTATCTTGTCTCATCTGATTCAATGCCCTATAGTTCAAGATTGTTCAACAAGTGATTTTCGTTTATTTTTTTCTGGACAAAATGGGCAACACTAAAGAATATTCCGAGGAGAATTGGTGTTCATAAATCCGGCAAAAGTATTCGAGAAACTTCAGAAGGTTTCGCTGTCATCTGTACACAAAATTATTAGGAAATTTAAGGCTCAAAGCACAACATCCAATAGCCGTCGTTCAGGGAGACCCAGAGTTACAACTTCCACTGAAGACTTAAGCATAATAGTGAAAGGTAAACGCAATAGACGCATGACTGCACCCGAAATAGCGTTAAGAGAAGGTTAGTCGAAGCTTGGCTAAGGGATGCATAGCAGTATGGAAACCACTCCTCAGGGCTACTAAGAAAAAAAAGAGACTGAATTGGGCCAAGCAACATCAAAATTGGACAGTTGCTGTCTGGAAGAAGATCCTCTGGAGCGATGAATCGAAATTTGAAGGTTTTGGTTCCAAGATTTGTCCGCCGTCGGCCTAACGAGAGAGCATTAGAATCATGCACCGTCCCTTCAGTCAAGCACGGTGGAGGCTCTATAAATGATTTGGGCTGTTTTGGTGGTTCCGCTCTGAGGGATATTGTGAGAGTACAGGGAATACCGAATAAAGGTTACAAAAGCCATACTACAAAATCATGTGCCTTCTGGAACTCGTCTTATTGGTCCGGGCTCTGTCTTTCAGCATGATAATGACCCCAAAAATACATCCAAGCTCTGTAAACAATTTTTGGAAGCAAAAAAATAACAAAATATTTTGAAAGTCATGCAATCGCCTCCCCAATCCCCGGATTTGAATCCAAAATCCAATAGAATTGCTGTGGGATGAACTGAGAATATTACAAGACGAATGGCGAAAAATAACCCCATCCACTTTAGAAAAATAAGTTGCGCGTTTACCCATCATTTGCCAGGCTGTAATTAAAAGAGAAGGAGGACATATTGATAAGTCAAAAATATGATTATTTTCATTATAAATAGTTGTATTTTGTCAAGAATTAAGAAAATAAATGTTTCATACTGATATTGTAATGATTTCTTTAATAACGTCCATCAGTTTCCTTGTTTTCTGGGTGTTCAAATATACTAAGTGACATATAAATCCGAACCAGTTCCAGTTTAAATGGTTTTACTTTAATAAAAGTTGGTGAATGTATTTATCTTACTGTAAATAACAAGTGAAAAAATTTTCAGCCTTATCAGTTGGACATTCCGGTTTTTATACTGCTTTTTTTTTAATTCACTAACGCTCTAAAAATGAATATTTCAGCCGCAGTAAAGAATCAACGTTGGCGGATTTTGGTTCTTGACGTCCTTTACGATCGGTTACGATGCCTAAAGTACGGAGACCTGTACGATTTCGTCAACTTAGTGAGTTTGATAGGGGCCGTATAGTGGGACTTCGGGAAGCTGGACTTTCTTTTCGGGCAATTGCAGTTAGAGTGCAAAGAAGTGTAGACACTGTGGTTAGGTGTTTGTCAGGCATGGCTTCGAGAAGGCCGTACGCAAAGAGCAAGTGGCACTGGACGAAGCCGTAGAACAACAGACCTTGAAGATCGCCGCCTAAGATTATTGGCCTTAAGGGACCGTTTCTCCACTACCAGGTCCATTGCAAATGAATGGTTTGCAGAACACAGAAGACCTATTGGCATGCGAAGTGTTTACCGACGAATGAGAAGTTTTGGCTTGTTTTCATACCGGCCACACTGGGTCCTCCCTTTAACTCGAGAACACCGACGTAATCGCCTTGAGTGGTGCAGACAACGGTCACTCTGGGATCAGGAATGGAACAGTACTGTCTTTAGTGACGAGTCCCGATTTTGTTTAGGCATGCACAATGGTCGTGCCAGGGTTAGAAGGCGACGTGGTGAAAGGAGGAATCCACAGTTTTTTGTTGAAAGACATGTTCATCACACTGTTGGAGTTATGGTTTGGGGTGCTATAGCTTATTGTTCCAGGTCACCTTTAATCTTCATCAGAGGCAACATGAACGCGCAGCGTTATATCCACGAAGTTCTAGAACCCCATCTTTTACCCTATCTTGACACCCTGGCAGATCCTACTTTCCAACAAGACAATGCCCAACCACATGTTACAAGAGTCACAATAGACTTCTTTCAACATAATGATGTCACATTGTTACCATGGCCACCAAGATCTCCCGACGTATCCCCAATTGAACACGTGTGGGATATGGTGGGTAGGAGATTGCTCAATTTGCAACGTCCTCCTCAGACTCTAGAAGCACTTCGAGAGGAGTTGGTGGTTGCCTGGAATGAGATACCACAGGAGGACATTGACCACCTGATCAAAAGCATGCCTAGGCGCGTTGGAGAATGCGTAGCACATCAGGGTGCATCCACACATTATTAAAGGTCAAAGGGCTTTAAAGCAGTGCAATCATTTTGAAATGTTTATCATTTACTTATTATGCTTCATTAAGTACTTATACAAAATTTTATTAAAATAAAACCATTTACACTGGGTGTTCGGATTTATATGTCACTTAGTATACTTTTGAACGGTAGTGTACAGTGTCATATAACATCAAAAAAAAAACTTTACTCATTCTCGAACATTTTCACAATTACAATACTTCCTCGCCAGTTAAAAAAATCAATGAGTCATGTTGTATTGTTAAGTTTCAAAATAGATATTTCACGCATACTAATGTTCTTAAAGTCGGGATTTTCCTAGCAACACATACAGTAAGATAACATAATTATCAGGATCAGAAAAAAATGCGATATCAAATCCAGCCTCTCTTCCAACGAATGATTACAACGAGTAGGTAAACCAAGCTACTTTTAGAAATGTTGTGGATAGATGAACTAGAGCAACTAAACAGCCCCGAAAGTTGCAAATTGAGGAAGAAGGTAACATGCGAGCTCTGTAAATTAGGTAATGAGACTGGCACCGTAGCGTTCGATCTGGCAACACTGGAAGCGCCAAGCTTCAGTACAAGTTTGAACTCGGTCGAGTCATTTGGTTGTCCGTGGCGATTTTTTTTTGTGAAACAATTTTTTTTATTGTGCTCTAAAAATAAGTAATATTGCTTCAGACTTGGGCACAGTGCAACGGAAACTCTTGCTAAACTTCAGCAGCCCTCTGGAAAGAGTGTTTTCATTAGAGTCCAGATTTTTCGGTGGTTTAATGCATTTTCAGAAGGGAGAGAGTCGATTGAAGAGGAATCACGAAGCGGAAGGTCTTCATCTTCAAGAACCGATGAAAATGTCGTCAGAATCCAGGATCTATCTTGTGAGTTCGGATCGTCGGTTGACTCACACCACCGTTCATCAGATTGAGTATTGGACGTGAGAAAAATCTGCGCAAAAAAGCTGCCAAGACCAAAAGGACATCAGGGATGAAAGGTGCCTTGACATTCTGGATTCGATTGAAAATGACACCCATTTTCTGGAACGTGTCATTACTGGTGACGAGTGTTGGGCGTTTGAGTCCGACTCAAAATCCTAGCGTCAGAGCATCGAGTGGCACACTTCTACCTCTTCGAGGCCCAAAAAGCAAGAAAGACGAAGTGGAAGATCAAATGCATACTGATTTGTTTTTTCGATATCCACGAAATCGTCCACAAAGAGTTTCTACCTCAAGGCGAAATTGTCAATCAACACTTTTACTGGGAGGTTCTTGAAAAACCTCGAAAAAGGGTCATTCGTGTGAGACCAAACATCAAGAACAAGTGTTGCATCACAATAATGCTACTTGTCACACCGCAATGTCAGTAAGCGAGCTTTTGGCCAGTAAAAACATTCCTGTGGCTCCTCAGCCTCCTTATTCGCTTGACTTGAATCCTTGTGACTTTTTTCTCCTCCCGAAGTTGAAAAATTACCTTAAGGGAACTCATTTTGGGACACTGGAAAACATTCAAACGGCTGTAACCAACCAGCTGAAGGCTATTCCAGTATCGGAGTTCCAGCTCTGCTATGAGCAGTGGAAGAACCGACTCCAGCTTCAGAAGGAAGTAATTTTGAGGGTGGCAATATAAAATTGTAATTATATTTGAATAAAAAAAAATAAAAAAACAATCCCTTCACTGAATGTACAGATCTCGTAGTAGTTTAAATCGAACGGCGACAACTTCAAGCAGTATTTGCGAACGAAAAATGTGACAGGGCAGTACCTGAAATTCTTTATCTAATGAATAGAATATTTAGATTAACTTTTATGCAAACGTCGACGTGTTGAATCTTCCCTTCAATAATATGTAAAAATTCTCGAGCACCCTAATTTACTCACCAACCGTCAGATACGACACCATATAACAATCATCATAGAACTGCCCAACAAACTCGTCCAACTCGCCCTGTACATCTCCAATCTTCACATCATCTCCGTCAATCTGCTCGTTATCACAGAGAAGCTTCTCCAGGGCGTACAACTCCCTTTTGGTCAATGTCCACAGCAACTCCCTGATCTTATGAAGGAGTTGTCGGAAAGGTCTGAACATTTCGCTCATTTCTTCTATTGAACAATCGATACTGAGGGGCCCATTGGGAAAGATGAGCAAGCCACTGACTATGGCCAGACGTGGAATCGTAAACATCAAGGCTGGATCGCAGTCGTCTACCATTTCCTTGAACAAAACAATATACTGGGTGTTACAAATGTGAATCCCACCATTGAGATCTCTGTAACGGTAAGAGGCACGAAGTCGATTAAATGGGAACAAAGTTGCGTATTTAGCTAACTAATAAAACGCCGCTTATAAAGTTTCGAAATTCAAAGTACTTCCGGAGAGAGACGGTAAAACCAGCATTTTCTCAAAGCGTTTTAATTTTTTCCTCACTTTGTAGTGGGGTTTCCAAATAAACTGCACATCAACAATGTAACTTATTGTCCTCTACAAGATGGCATAATTAGAATTTCAATATGACGTTTCATCTCTTATCCTCCAGCATCAACTCTTATTGACGAAATACTGGATTTTTGCGCAGATGAAGTTTTTAATTCTGATTTCAAAAATGTATGATATGTCTTGCACTGAATTTGCTAAACCTCACTTATTCCGAAAAAACAGCAGTTTTTGTATAGGCCTTGAAATTATCAGATTTTAAAAAAACCTAAAAAACGTCAAAAAACCACAAAATGCCATGTTGCAGACTAGGTAGTTCTTAGTGTGCAAATAGTTCATTCCAAGTTTGCTCGCTATGATCGCTGCGAGCGCCAGCATTAGCGCCCATCTATGGAGGTATGACTCGACGACAGGACATGCATTGTTGGTTGCAGAAAGCCGAGTAGTTTGTAGTGTTTATCTCTGAGAAGATGAGAAAGAAAGTTGGTTGAATAGCAAAATCGCATCTGGATGATTATGTGTATTGGTCTGCATGTGTATAAAATTAGTGGTATTTGCTATGTGAGAAAATTATTAATGAATATGCTACCAATGAAATATATCTATTAGCTGTGTTCGACGTTTTATTTATATGTTGTCCTGGTAGCATATTTTATCACCGGTTGTAATACGTCTCATATTTCTGAAATTCAGCAAACTTGCTTATGTAATTTCCAGAATGAATAAGAGAAAGCGGATGCGCAACTAATTTTTAATTTTGCACACATCTCAAGTAAGTGTAGTTGACACAAGAAACCAATGGAATTAATATCAACAAAGAGTTTTAGCACACAAGTCCTCACTATGCACCTAAGCATTGCCGTTTCCTTCCAGCTATAGTATACAACTTACAGCTTAGACCTCCGATAATGCCATCTCTGAAGCGTATGTTACGTCACTTCAAAAATAAACATTGATAGCTGAAGCATCATGACGTTTAGACAACAAGTACAGCTACAGAACGAATTCACAAGTGTACAACAGCTAGTGCGGAGTTAACATCTAAAACCTACGTTATATCATAAAATACCTACAAAATGTCAAAAAACCGACAAAATGTCACTTTTCAATATGCGTAATACCCGTGCTGACCTCAAATTAGTAACAGAGTTTAGAAGAATGAGAAGAGAAACAAATCGAGCAATGAACAATGTACAGAAAAGAATCAGGCTTTGCCTACAAAATAACGGACATTTTGAACATCAGTTATGATTTACCTCTGCATATTTATGATTATTATTGTTATTACCATCTATAAAATTTTATGTTCATCATTAACCACAACGTTTTATTTCCTCATAATTTTTATCCAACAAAAAATGCATGGCCAACTAAGAAAATACATCACTCAATGTAGGGCTGAAAAGCCCATTTAAATATACAAGATTCCAATATAGTGTCCATATGAAAAAACAAAGTTAATGATAGAAGACAAAAGAAGGAATATTGAATTGAAAATTTGACTACGCCATCGTGTAGAGGAGAAGTAGCAATAACAACATGCAATTCACTTTGAAATCCCATCTCAAATAACGCCAGGAAAAAATAAAAGTGATTTTGGTTTGCGAAAAATCAGATAATTTCAAGGCTTACCTACGATATTCTGCTTTTTTTGAAATAAGTAAAGTTTGACAATGTCCATGTATGAAGTATTATACATTTTTGAGATCAGAATTGAAAACTATTTATCTATGCAAAACATCCAATATGGCGTCCATAAGAAAAAATTAAGTTGATGCTGGAGGTCAAGAGACGAAAAGTCATATTGAAATTTTCTAATTATGTCATCTTGTACAGGAGAAAAAGTGGCAACGTTAATGTGCAATTCATTATGAAATTTCACTACAGATAAAGTCAGGAAGACTTTAAAACGATTTTTGGATAATTCGTTTTTTTCCGTTTCTCTCCAGAAGTACTTTGAATCTCGAAACTTTCTAAGCGGCATTTTGTTAATTACCTAAATACGCAAATTTTCCCCCATTTAAGCGACTTCGTATCTCTTACAATTTCCGAGATCCAATGGTGAGGGTCAAATTTCGAGTTCAAAATAAATTCTACTACGACATTATGTAGGTGAAGCAACTATCTGAAGGTGACCTTAAATTTGACCTTACCATTGACCAAGATCATTTAAGGTTAAAACCGTTTTTGCAAATGAGAGCCAATATTTTTGTCACCGATAAATTTTTATGTTCAGATAAGTCCTAGTTTTCCAAAAGCGTTCGAGTTTTAGAAGTCATGGTCAAGATCAAATATCTGATCGATAAAATAACCTCAAAAACCGTGAGTCCCAAAGACTCGGGCACGGGCTCAGAAAATTTCTTGGTTTTGAGTCAATTGGCTGGGTTTATAGCTTGCCTTGCCTGGTTAGATTACATAATCACTAATTACGCTTAAAGCTATGAGTGTACTTCACCTTGACTTAGACTTATTCTCGCATGATCAATCTGCGTAAATACTCATGGGTGATCCTCAAAAAATAACATTGAAATCGTTTTGAAACATGATGGATGGTGATTTTCGGGTTATTTCTAACCCTTTTTTCTACTTGCGCATGATTTCGTACGAAATTTAGTACAATAATTTCTTTACGCGTCAGACAGGATTGTAATTTGTAAGCAAATTGGGAACTAAATTCAGTAACGAATTTTATCACAAAATTTAAGAGACCACTTATAAATTAACACATACGTATAAATAAGAAATATTAACAAAGCTGGAGGCCTACAAACCTGAGTTAAGATTTTCATTTTGAGCGCACGCTGAAGTGTTTCAGAAAATAGAACACCAATCATCTCTTGAAGTTCATACTCTTGTGTCGACTTCACAGGAACCATTGCACTGACGTAGGCTAACTCGAATTCAGCGAACAGCCTAAAAAAATCGATAGAAATTTAGAAAAGGTGTTATCCCTAATTATGTGTCAGAGTATGTTAGATATAGTTCATAACAGACTTATAGTGCTTGTTTAGTAAGGCAGAACCTGCTAGCTTGTGGTGCGGGGCGCGGGAAGCAGTTGGGGTCAAGCAGTTCGAGTCGCATCATTTGTAGCACAGTAACAATCGCTACATCCAAAGCAATTACTAATGTTCTAGCCTCACATTTCTAACAGTTTGAAACCGACTAAGCATGTTAAGTGGAGAAAACATAATCAAGCAAGGGTAAAACCTAGTAGGGGATTATCGATCCGCTGTTTCAGCAATTTTTGGTTTGAAAACTTGTATCGGACTGTCGAAACAGTTCACAGGATTTTGGCCGTAGTTTCTGACATGCGCAGATCGCACAAGGTCTTGTTTTGTCCGAACAGTTTAGAGTCAGTACTGATCAAAAGAGTTATAATTTTAGACGTGCTAACTTTTTTCATTATATAATGCTTTGTTATTGATTGAGTGGGATTTTTTAAATAACGCAAGTGATACAGAGGACGCAATAAATTAATAGATTTTATAACAAACTTTCTGATTTATCTGATGTTCACGTTCCAATATATAAAAATTCCAAACACAAATATCCCTGTTGCTACTCCAGTGAAATTATAATATTAGACCATTTCCAGGAATTCAGCCGGCTTTGAGGAATATTTAAAATTAAAACTAAGGAGGCATATAACACATATCTTCAAAACATTCAAAATCATTCAATTGATGACCCTTAGTCTTTCTGGTCTTTCGTGCATAGGAAATACAACACTTCTAGGATTCCTAGTAAAATGTTTGATAGTATCGTCGACATTGGTTGTGAGGAAATATTAGTTGCCAGTAGAAAACTCGAAAATAAACTGACTGCTGATCAAATCCCATATTTTTTTTTGTTAAAGACTGTATCACTAAATTAATCCATCCTTTACTGGTTATCTTTGACTTAATCCTAAAAACAACTGTTTTTCCCGAAAAGTTTGCCCAATTCCGAATTCAAACAATTATCACTCCATTAGTGAATATAGAGCTATATCTTTACTTAATAATTTTGCAAATCTCTTGGAGATCGTACTGTACAACCGCATACGCCTGACCACGAAAAACATTGTTTCCATCGATCAACATGGTTTCATGAGGCAATGCTCAACCTTAACAAATTTAATGGTATTTAACCAATATTTGTGCAACAGATTGGGCAGCAGAAGACAGGTGGATGTGGTGTACACCGATTTCTCCAAGGCGTTTGATAAGGTCAATCATAGTATTTTGCTTCAAAAGCTTGAGTACATAGGCTTTAGCAACACTTATTTAGCTCTCTTAACATCTTATCTATGTGAAAGGATCAGTATGTTTTTTATAATGGCTTCACATCACGTTTATTTTTCAACTAGTGGTTTTCCACAGGGGTCAAATTTAGGACCGCTGTTATTTATAGTATTCGTTGTATCTTTGAACTGTTCTAAATTAATGTTCGTAGATGACCTGAAATTTTATTAATCCGTGTCTTGCTTGGAAGACTGTGTATATGTTCAAGGTCAGATAAATGTGTTACAAAGCTGGTGCATCAATAATCAACTCCATCTTGACATAAGTAAATGCAAAGTAGTAACTTTTTCTAGTAAGACCAACCCCTTGGTATACAATAGATTACTGTGTTCTTGAGCGTACTACTTTGATCAACAACTAACCTTCAATGGACATATTAATCAAACTATTAGGAGCGCTTATCGAACCTATGGTTTTGTTATCAGGAATTCTAAACATTTTAACACTTTACAGACTTCATACTTCAGCTTGGTTAGGTCTAAGCTCAGATATGGATCTCTGATATGGATTCCGATTTAGAAGCAATATATTGATGCTGTTGATAAACTTCAAAAGGAATTTATAAAATTTTCATGTTTTAGGATCGATGGCATGTATCCTACTAGAGGTACAGAATACAGTATTTTCCTCTATAAATTTGGCTTTTAGTCCTTAGAATAGCGCCGTAAGCAATCGGCAGTTATACTTTTATACAAATTGTTGCATAGTCTGTTAGAATGTCCAATACTTTCTCAAATACAGTTTCTGGTACCACGAATAGCTTCAAGATACAATGTTCCTTTCTTATGTCAAACAGCACAAACTGTCAAAAGCGCCTATTAACATGTGTGTGAATGCTAATAAAATAGCCAATGTATACGACATATTTTTTTGTAGCTTAGGTGTACTGAAGTGCAACCTGCGAGCACATTTGTGATTTTCTTACCTTTCTTACTTTTTTGTTATAGCTATATTTTTTCTTGATTTACGGAATTTTTATTTTTTTTTTTCAAAATACCTCATCGTGATTTCTTATTTTTAGTAGATTGCTCTGTAAATGGAGTTAAGCTGTTGGGCAATAAACGCTTATTATTATTATTATGGCTGCCTTATGGTTTGGGGTTATGGTTTTTGAATTGAGTTGGGGTGTGTGCGTCTTTCTTAGTTTGGTTGCAACTCTGATTAGTTCATATCAATTGGAAAAATTGAAACCAGATACCAGTTTTTAAGTAAATTCAGTGTGTACTAGTTTCTATTGTGTATACCTGTTTGTATTGCTTACAGAAATGTCAGATTCTTTTAGTTTAAGTTCAGAATCCTCCTGATTCTCACATATCCATTCGATTGATGCATAATCGAAAAAAATGTGCATTACATAAATGTACCGGTACCTCGTTACAATGAAAGTGATTTCATGGAAGATTTCAGGGTGACTAGCAAAGTGGCTGAATATATCTCAACTAAATACGAACACAGCATATTCTTCAAAAAGAGGACTGAAGGCAATGGGAAGCTTCCTGCTTATGAACACTCATCTTTTTGTTGTTCGCAGCACATGAAACATCATCTTTTTGTGATTTAGCAGATAGATTTGATATAATCATTAGTTGTTTATTCTATATAATAAAACGTTTAATCAAGTCATTGAACATTATATATATATATATATAATTCAAAGGCCTAACAATGAGGTTAGAAACATTGAATTTCATCTAAATGTCAAATGCGATGCCGTCACTGTCAACTCAAACGTATTTTAATAGAAAAAATGTGATCTAGCAGAATCAAATTGAAAACCGTTTGAAACTAGTATTTTGACAACGCATGCGCGTTGATGGAATTCACAACGTGGTATCCAACTGTTGGAAATGTGATGCAAGAACATTACTTATATGAAACTATTAGTGCTTTTCACGTTATTACACATTGCTCAAATGTATAATTTATACAGATGAACCCGCTTTCATCACTATTTAGATCATCATATAATAATAAAGAAGCGGAACAAATGTTAACAGACAGTATAAGTGTGTCGTGGAATATATCTCGGATTCGTGTTGAAGACCACATAAGCCACAGGAAATTGGGCTGTCCAAAATGATATCTAACCAGCTCCGTATAATTCAACGAATTTTGAATAATCACATTAACCAAATAGTCTAATTCCTATTGGCTCATTCAGATGGACAGACACGAGTAACATTGTTTGGACTTTTTGTATTGAAACCTACCCAAATTATTTCTTGTGTTCTATATAAATCCGAGAGACTACACATACTTTCAGGGACAGCCTGTATACTAAAAAAAGACCTCTGTTACCTGTCAAATATCTTAAGACTTTCCATCAACATTTCGGTGACTAGTTCATTGGAGTCCAACTTGATGGGTCCATTAGGCGTGTTGTTACGTAAGCAAGCGTCCCTTAACAGGTTCCTGACGTTCTCCAAGCTCTTGGTGACTGCTTTGGCCAATGGTCGCATTGCTGTGCTCTCTGATTCGCGGTTCATTATGGACGAACCAGCAGCCAGACACTGAAAAAAAATATCCAGGATGAAGAAATTTATTTATTAGTTGGGTTCGGGATCACTTGCTTTTTGGAAATGTTCCAGTTAATTTTTATAGTCGCCACTTAAGTGTTGACTGCGAATCAAGTGCTAAGGGGCCCTTATTTCGTGTACCAATCGCTCCAGTTTTTATGATGGAATTTTACGAAACTTTCTTGGTTCTAGTCTAGATTTCCCAAGGTCTGTTGCTGACTAGGTTTCAAATGTAGTTTCTAGTGGTAAAAAGGAATTGCCCATAAATTATTCTCCTGCATAGCTGCCACATAATCAAACTGATACTAATGAGATTGTGGTTCAACCTAAATTTGATGTCTCACCTATCAAAACTCGTAAAACCCTTTATTGTGAGAGGACACACACAAATGTATTTTTAAAAGCGCCCATATATGTAATGTGTAAACATTTTAATGCTATATATAATTATTGTGATATACAGGGTGTCCGCAAAGTTGGGGTTTTCCTTTTCAGAAACAACTACCCTTGAAATAACAAAGGTAATGTGTGGTGAAACGAGGGCCACCAAGTAAAAAAAAAATAAAGGAAAAAGTACTCACTCTCCAGTTGACGAGAAGTGCTAAGTACGTCTCTTCCCGAAATCAGACCTCTCCAACAGAAAATGAAATCAGCTGATGCGCTACCGAGCAGACGCAGGCAAACAAGGAAGGCAAAATGTTGCGTAAAAAGTCTAGGGTCTAGGTATTGCATCCCGTCCAATCGATTTGGGAGAATAAATGGTCCAATGAGCATACCACCGTTCACCATGCCAGCAGAAACAGTCACCGAATATGTTTGTTGAAAATGTGCCCGACGGACAGCGTGCGGATTTTCTACTGACCAAACATGAGTGTTGCGAAAGTTATTCACCCCATTACGCGTGAACGTAGATTCGTCTGTCATCAATATGCACTTCAAAAAGTCCGGATTATTGTCATGTTGATGCAACAACCACTCACAAAACCGCACTCTTGCTGGAAAATGGTCAGGTTGAAGGGCTTGTACACGTTGGACGTGAAACGGATACAGCCCCTCTTCACGCAGCGTTTGCCACACTTTAGTTTTTGATACTTGCACTTCTCTAGCCACGTCTCTAGTGCTTGTTGAGAGATTCTCGTCTACGCGATTACCTCTATACGCGTGACCGTAACCGTCGGTTGAGGTTGCATACTGACCTGACACACTGACTCCGACCCAGTTCTGTCGTCGGGTTGAGCTAGCGTCCTAGTACCAGTCGGGGATGTAGCGGCTACAGGACGGTATTCAGATATTTTTGATGTTGCAGAGCCCTTTATCTCGGTTCCCTTAAGACATTGGTGTATATGGTACTAAGAAAAATTGCTTATGTTTTCAAGATCTACACGTCGTGTAAAGGAAAACTCCAACTTTGCGGACACCCTGCATATGATGACAGTATGATCAGCATTCTGAGAGTAGCTAAGAATTACATAAACACGTTGTGATATTTTTCACTGAAGTGGGATATCTTTTTTGCTTCTTTTTTCTTTTTTCCGTTGGATACATTGAGTCACCTGATTTTTCCATGTTTTTTATTTTGGCTAATTTGATTTATCTTTATCTTAGAATTGTCCTGTAAATGGTTTCCTTAACTACTGGGTAATAAACGCTATTTATTTATTTATTATTTATTTACTTGCTGTCTCTTGCGATTTAGCGCTTGACACTCATATTTTATACAAAGAACAACATAGAAAATACAGCAAAGCAGTGGAGACAAACCAACATTTTTGATAGATACTGAAAAGGAGTAACCGAAACTTCACTTTGAGTCGTATCTACTTTCATTTTGGATCAAAAAACTCTTAGGAAAGTTTCGCGTTTTCTCATTTCACTGCTACGAGATTCTATCGAGGAAGCTCACCACACTCCAAAAGTTTATGAATAACAAATTAACTATTAATCACTTCCAAATATTTTTAATGCTTATATACAGGGTGACTTTGAAGTTGAGTCATTTATTTTAACAGTGAGTAGATCTGATCAAAAGAAATGTTTTTTTCCTTTACCATTTTTCTGGTAAAATTAAAGTAACAAAGTTATAGCCCTTTGGAAGTTTGAGTACCGCCCTGTCTCAATAATAATATTATGTGCTCGTGTTTGGCAACAACGGATATAATCCGCCTTATCGGTTCATCGCATCGGAAACAAAAAAGCGAAAGAATTTGGAACGATGTTTTTACAATTATTTTATTCAGTTGTATACAGTCAGTGCCAGTCGGTAACGCGTGAGTGAATAGTGGTGTCTGTTGCGTGGCTCAAACGAAATCAAAAATGGCACATGTTTACGAAAATGCTGAACTTGTGGACATGATTCTTATTTATGCGGCATCACGGATTTATGAGGATCGGTTTCCCAATCGAGTGCAACCAACCCCTCGTGCCTTTGTTAATGTAGTACAAAGGGCTCGTGAATCAGGTGACTTAAGACCTCACAGGGGAGGGCATGCCGGTGCTCCAAGACCGCACGATCAAATATAGGTCCGCACTGAAATACTTGTCGGGAGGATACTTTATAAAACAAGGTAACATTTTTTTTTAATTTTTTTTTTATTTTTACACACATATTTTGGTTTATCCTCCTTCTACAATCATCTGAAAATTAATGACTCAACTTCAAAGTCACCCTGTATATATACAGGGTGACTTCGAAGTTGAGTCATTTATTTTAACAGTGAGTAGATCTGATCAAAAGAATTGTTTTTTCCTTTAACATTTTTCTGGTAAAATTAAAGTAACAAAGTTATAGCCCTTTAGAAGTTTGAGTACCGCCCTGTCTCAATAATAATATGTGCTCGTGTTTGGCAACAACGGATATAATCCGCCTTATCAGTTCATCGCATCGGAAACAAAAAAGCGAAATAATTTGAAACGATGTTTTTACTACAATTATTATTCAGTTGTATTCAGTCAATGTGTCAGTCGGTAACGCATGAGTCAATAGTGGTGTTTGTTGCGTGGCTCAAACGAAATAAAAAATGGCACATGTTTACGAAAATGCTACACTTGTGGACATGATTCTTATTCTTAATCGAGTGCAACCAACCCCTCGTGCCTTTGTTAATGTAGTACAAATGGTTCGTGAATCAGGTGACTTAAGACCTCACAGGGGAGGGCATGCCGGTGCTCCAAGACCGCACGATCAAATACAGGTCCGCACTGAAATACTTGTCGGGAGGATACTTTATAAAACAAGGTAACATTTTTTTTTATTTTTACACACATATTTTGGTTTATTTTCCTTCTACAATCGTTATCTGAAAATTAATGACTCAACTTCAAAGTCACCCTGTATATATATATATATATATATAAATAGGAAAATAATAAACAAAATCCGCAAAAAGAAGGAAAGTGGATTCGAGCAGAAAATAATAGGTAACCCGGCAATACGTATTTCTACTTGTTAGCTTCCTCAGGCCCGAAATGGATGCACATATGCAACCACAAAAGTAGATACACATGTACATACATCCGGATACGGGTGTAACCTGAGGAAACGAAGATAAAGAGGAAAAAAGAGTACCGTTAATAAACGCTTACTTTCGTTTCCTTGCCGTAATTATACGTAATTTATCCCTTATTGACAATAAGTGAGCGGTTCACATCGAAATACATCACTTATTTGTGCCCTGCTATACGTAAATTAATACACAGTACGATTGGCTGCTTGAATATTTAGAAAGAAAAAATGAACGCCGATGTATTGGGTTATCATTTTCATAGGAATTGATAGGCAAATCTACCCAAAAGGATCCACTAAAACTACGTCATTTTGGCGACACTCGTAAACATGTATAGACTTTGCTAATCCTAACCTATTCAAATTAGTTGGTCCTGTGAGAAATGCTATAATGTGGAATCACTGATTCACGTATCCTAGCTGAATATAGCCAACCTGATGCTATATTCCGGTATCTAAAAAATGATCCAACATTAAATGCGATACCATAGAGTCGCCTGTTTGTCACAGTTGTTTATCTATTTACTATGTATACTTTGTACCAACTTTTACAAATTATACATATTAAATAGCGAAACTGCTGTGACAAATTCTCATAGATGACGCTACGGTACCTCACTGTATCTCAGACAATTTTTTGACGCGTGAATGTAGTATTAGGTTGGCTATGTTATAGTAGAATACCGATTTCACAATCTGGAATAATGACACAAAATAAGTTTACCATGTATACAAATAAGTATACGTGCTAAAATCTGTAGGAATAATTATCAACATCGCAACTTTTTATCATACTGAACATTGATCTTGACACGCTCCATTTTACTACAATCTATATATCATTTTTTATGTACCTTGACACATAACTATTAATAAGAAAAAAATAAAACTTATCAGCAAAGTATAATCACAGGAAAAGATAACTTATGTTAGATATCAGCTGTGTTATTGCTATTTTTCCACGTTTAATCCAGCCATAAATAGTCAATTTTATCATTTTATCAATATACAACTGTTACTACTAACACTACTTATACCAAGCATCACAGAGAGCCTAAGCGTTCGAGCATTACCTTAAGAATGTCCATTGGTATTCTACCTGAAGATATCTAACATATAATTGCAGCTATGCGCTTTACGCAGTGGTCGATTCTGATGTAGTAGATGGCGCTATGCGCTGTCCTATTTCGATACTAGTACCATCTATGGGATAGTGTAGCAGAACACAAAAATGAATTTTGAAATCTATTTTGAAAATGGTTGTATAAACCTACTGTCTTATAGATGGCGCTAGGATCTGCAGGCCCTTTTTTGGTTTCTCTAATGCTTATTTTAATTGGGTATCTTCAAGTGGAATATGTTAATCAATACCTGAAATGTACTTTTTATGCTCTGCTGTCTCCTTTTTCAATACACGCGCCTCTGGATATAACCTGCGTCTGTATCTGACCGATGGATGCCTGTGTTTCGTTGTCAATGGCAATATTGATAG